TTGGACACTAGTAAGTACCAGTGCACTTGTTGCTACCTCCCCCCTTCGGTTTCATGTATTCCTCTCAATCACTTCAAACCTAGGAGGATTAAACATTAATGTTAATTAATGTTAAATCCTCCTAGGTTCAAACCTTAAACACCCAGATCGAAACTCGCCTGTCGTTATTTTAACATCGCCTAATTTTTTTTACTATATTTTTCAAAAAAGGAAGATTAAATTGATTTACTTTGGATTTTAAAAAGTGGACGTTTTATTTCATTAAAGATATAAGTTAAGTGTTAAATTTCGAAATTTTAGGGTGAATCGAGATGAATCTTTTTTTATAACATGGGTCTCTCCTACCTTAACGTACATACCAAGTTTCATAAACATCGGTTGGAAAAGTGTAAAGATAAATATTTGTATGTAAAAAATACAAAATGGCGGATATCTGGTTAACGAAACGATTTTGGAAAAAATGTTATCCTTCATTTTCTGTTTATTTTGACCCAAGGAATTACTAGGTAAAGTGTCTCTCCGCTTATTTTTAATACCTTGTTTGTGATGTATTCTTATTAATGTAAGTGAAAAATGTAAGCTGGTAATACAGAAAGATGTTTTATATATAATATGAATGTACTGGTAATCTGTATATTCATCTTTTTCTTGTCCTTAGAACTGTAAATTAAAAGTCCACTCAGCAGTCGCATCGTACGATGTAGTTCTTTCCATGCGTTGCGAAATGCTAAATTTGCCGTCCTCTTCAACCCAAGTTATCTATTGAACCACTGATTGTAAAAAATTCAAAAAAATATATTTTACCCATCACACTTTTGGCTACAACTTTGCCACAGACAAAACCTCTCTAACCCAAAAACAAACAAAAATCTCGCATGCTAACTTTTTCATGTTAGAAATCACGATTTAAAACTATTCCACCATACATATCAATTTTTATTAATTATATCGGTAAATAGTTTAAAGTTCCAACAAAATAGTCATTGAGTAGGACTAACCAAGAAGCTCTGTGCCAATTTTCAAAATCTTAGCACAACTTTAAGTACACCAAAACACGAAATTATTGAAGTCATGCGTCGAGAGGACTATCGTTGTTTTTAACAGATTATACTTTTGACCTTCCGGCACTGTTGACTCAGCGAAACTGAACTTATATTTTATCTTATTTCGTTTTATTTAAACTGCTGTTGCATTAGGTCAAATTTCCAATAAGTCAATTGCTTTAACATAGACTACGTTTTTAGCCCGGACTGTACTATTTGACTTACTGGGATTTTTGATCTACAGACACTGCAAACATTGTAGTTTTTGACCTAGTGGCACAGGTATAAATTATTTGACCTTCCGGGACTGTTGACTTTCTGCAACGCGTCCTTTCTTTTGACTTTGTTTTCTTTGCACTGTTGCGTCACGGCTTTTGTTTTGTCAGTAGACGACTGGCTCTGGCTAGTGACAGTAAGGCAATAATTGCTCTGTTGTGTCTTTGTTCTTAAACGTGAGCAAACTTAATATTTAATTCTAATTTTAACATTTTAATTCCTCTGTAATAATGTATATAAGAGTGTTTCTTTGAAAATTACTTATTATAACTTTAAAAATAGCCTAATAATTATTTTTTTTGGCCCGACCCGATCTTGGCCCGAACAAATCTCTGACCCGACCCGGTCTCTCGGGCCTTCCGCTGGCCCGACCCGACCCGAAAAAATCGGGGACCCGCAGACCCCTACCTGGAATAGGCAAAGTACCCCCACTGCAGCAAACCTGCAGATTAAGCGAGTTTCCATTTGCCTGATTTGATTTTCAATTAAATATATTTTAATTGAGTTTAATTAGTACCCAGGTTTGCTGCTACGGAGAGGATAATAAAGTGTTTTTTTATTAAAATATTAATATCCAAGGTCAAAATAAATAAATTTGCCAAGTTTTATCAAAATATATCCTTAAACGAGCAAACTACAACATTTTACTTATTCTCCATTTTAAGAATAAAATGAGAATGATAAATTTACAATTTTTTAATTTTCTCGGTAGGTAACCAATATTCGTACAAAAACACTTCAATAAACAAAATTATTGGTTTTTAAGGTATTCAAAATCATCATGGTATCCAAAATTGTTTAGAGAGAAATTGGAAAATTTTATGCGTACGGGTTAATCATAACAAAACCCAATTTTGACCCCATAAATCCCCCCAAAAACCCCGTTCCCATGGTCTGGTCATGCTGGATTTCGAACTCGTTAAAATCAATCTAAAGATTTTTTTTTTACTTTTTTAAATGACATAACATCAAACTTTAACAGCGTTAATGACTGTAGACGTGTACTTTTTAAAGAACGTTTAGCACGATAACTCAAGCAAAAATGACCCAATGTTGACGAAATTTGGTAAAAACGTGTAAACCTACGTTTACTCGAACGAGATAGCGAACCAGCATGATCGAACCATGAGGACAGGGGTTTTTGGGGGATTTATGGGGTAAAAATTGTGTTTTCTCATGTTTGCCCCTCTAAACGTAAAATTTTCTAATTTGTCTCTAAGCCATTTTGAATACCATGATTGGATATTTTGCTAGTTTATGGTTATATTTTGATAAAACTTGGACAATTTATTTATTTTAACCTATTCATATTTTAACTAAAAAACACCCTTTATTACCCTCCCCGTAGCAGCAAACCTAGTTAACACTAATTAAACTTTAGGTTATTGAAATCGATTAAATTGAAAATCAAGTCAGGCAAATGGAAACTCACTTAATCTGCAGGTTTGCTGCGGTGGGGGTATTTTGCCTATTCCATGAAATGCAAAAACGGCATCACAACCTGTCATTGCAAGGAAAATGAAAGATTGCTGCATATTTCTGGAGAGAGTTGATAAAACAAAACACTAAACAATTTTTAATTATTTTAGTGATTAACGGCCACCATTTTGAAATGGCCTAATCAAACTCGACCATTGACAAACTGGGATTATATATCGTATTCAAGCACTTGTTTGCCAAATTTCATTAAAATCGGTTCAGGCATTTATCAATTCATAGCGACCCAGCATCCTCTTACGAGCGCCATATTGATGACGTCATTACGGGCGACCAAGGTCCTTAAAAATTGGGGTCCGAGCGGTTTTACATTCTTGGTCTTATATTTTATCTTCACCCTAAGTTGCAGGATCACCGCCAGAACTGAAATATTTTTGATACCCATACTTAGCCGTCAGTGTTAAGTCAAGACGACGGATAAGAACGAGTTAGAGACCCTCACCATTCCATGGATGGTGATGATGCATCAGTAGCTGATGATCAATATGACACGTGGTGGTTAAGGAGGCAAAACTACCAGTTTCTTGGTTAATTTTCCTTACAACTTTAACATTTGACACAGAGACTCATAGTCAATTTTGTAATACAGTAATTGATATTAACTGGATTATTTTACTTAATTAATTTGTCATATTTAATTTTTTCGTTAATAAATTAGTCTTTTTCTAGTAAACCGTTGGTTGTATTGCTTTTATTTTGTTCTTTTTCGATTCTGCATCCTAAGAAACATAGAAAACAACACCTCACTTGCTTGGATCCCATAAATAAAAATTTTCTCAAAATCACTACCCCCATAAACTTTAACCCCCATAAAATGGTACTTCCACCCCCACAATCACTAGGGACTCTTCAGATTTCAAAACCTAATGGTAATTACTACGTTTCCTGCAAGTTTCATGAATGGACTAATTTTTATGTTTTCTACTGGTTTTTTAGTATAATTTTACCTGTACTATTATATAAATAAACATCATTCCTTTCTGTTCTTCTTTTAAACATGACTTTTATTTTCTCTCTCTTAATTTTTCATTAATTTACTCAAACACTCCACATAGAGGTTAACTGTAAGAAAGGACCATGAGGTCCTAAGTTCGCCTCAATAAAGAAGGATTTTCATTTCATTTCATTTCATTTCATAATCAATTATTGGCTCCTAAAAATAAAGGATGTGTGTTGAATGAAAGACGTGGTAGCTTTGCTACTGATTGATTAGGACCAGCTGATTCTTTAGTCAGGATAACTTGTAAAAACCCTAATGATCCTGACAGCTGCCCTCTATCTCCAACTTTTCTGAGGATCTACTCACTGGCAAAGCTTTGATAATAAGCAATGCCTTAACACTTGGCTAACCACTTGATGAACGGACAACATATTAAATGAAAAACACAAACACATTCCTCCTACTGAGTAAAACTGCGCTTGACGAAGTATTTATGATGTTTGCTCGAGACATCTAGGCTACCAATAACCTTTTCATTACAATAGAAAGTTGTATTATATCAACATAGCTAAAATATTTATCTAGTTAGTTGCAGTCGTAGAGCATACAAAGCACAGCTTCAGATCCTGATGATGAATAAAGCCAAGTTGTTGAATTATTTTTAGTGTTTAACACAAATGAGTTGTAACTTACTGAGTAATATTTGCTGTTACATGATATTTAAATTTTTCATAGTTAAATAGGTGTTGTGTTTAAAAAAATGAAAAACATAAATGTGCATTATAGTATTACAATAAAACCAGACATGGAAACTCCAAAATAGAGTTTTATATTTAGCAATTTTTACCATAGTAACAGTTTCCATCAGTAGTACACTGATTACAAATCAGGAAAAATGTTATCGAAACTCCAAATGATATGACTGAATGCATGTATGAAAAATATATATTTTTTAAAGTTTCCTTTTCACATAGGGGTTTTAATCTTGTTAGCGCATAAAGGACCTCACACTTCAAGGAAAAATTTAAAATAGGTAAATTTGCTCTAAATTCAATTTGGGACAGGCTGATAACTAATAAAAATTTGCCAATATCTTCCAAAAGTGTTTGCTTTGAGTCTATAGTTAAGGCTATAATTTGTTACGGGACACAATTGTGGGGTTTTATAGTTGTCGAGTCCGTCCAAAAACTGTTTATAAAAAGATTTTCATTTTAATTTCATTTAGTTTATTTGCAAGTACTTACTTTATTTCAGCTGAGCCATATCCATTCTCAATTTCATACGCTTCCTTCTTTGATTTCCAAAATAAAAGTTCCAGACATATCCTTCTATTCCCTTCCTTCAAGCAACAAAACCGTTTCATTATATATCCTGCCAATGCATGGATTTCCTGAAACAGTATAATGATATGCAAGTAAAATTAAAATATAAACTGGGTAAGGTATTTTTTTAATGATAGTTATTAAATCTTCTATACATTGAGCTTCCATTTCCAGACCATTGTAAGTTTTTAGAATATAATATAAAAGAAAAAATGGATTATTATTAGATAAATACCCCTGCCGCAGCTAACCTGCAGACTAAGCGAATTTCCATTTGCCTGAATTTGCTTTAAATTGTTTTATATTCACATCTAGGTACTTTAATTTTCTTCATGACAATTTGTAAAATAAATGCAATCTGACCTATCCTATTGTACTTTATTGTACCGAATGGAAATAAATATATTTGATTTGATTTGAATATTTTTCCATTTATTGTTGGTGTAAAACCGCATAATATGTCCGATTGGAATGTGACTAAAACAGAAATGTTTGCTATGTCACTGTTAATAATATACGATCATGACCTCGTATGTCCTAAGTAAAATGGATATAATTCAAAATTGTACAAGGTCGTACACGGGAGCGTCACTAATAGGATTACTCGAGGTGGGAGGACGCATACAGGCACCTGCAGGCCAGTTTGGGCTGCCTCAACTTCCCGTTGCTGTTTTGGGGTAGCCAATGTTTTTAGAAAAGAGCCCCCTCCCACCCTGCAACCTGACCACCGGCCCGCAGCGCACAGATACACAGTTGAACTGTACAAGAGTGACTTCTCTAACCGCTTCTCAGGCCTTTGGTCATGAATATTATATAATTAGATCATTTACATTAGAGTTCTGCCAATAGCAACAATTAAGAGAAAGAGACCAACTGTATCTTACCCAGTATCGAGCGTCTTTGGAATCTAACGCTCTTCGGAACGTCCTAAACAATGACGCCTGGAAAAGCATTTGTGGCAGTCTTAAGTCATATGCGACTCTATAGAACAGCGACACAATGCAATGGTTTGTTTCATCGGTGTTAGACTCAAAAGTTTCCAACAACATAGAGGCTGCAGACAAGACTTTGGGGCAAGCAAACCTGCAAACAAGTAATCCATATAGCGTTAAAAATCAACATGTGCAGATAAATTTTTTTTTAATAATAAAGAGGCATTTTTTATTCTTGCATATGCCTGTCCACATAGACTACGAATCTGCGCAGGGAATCTATCCAGCAAAGTATGTGGTGAGCCGGTACAGGACAAGGGTGAAAAGTAGTGATAAAAAGTAGTGGTAGGTACTAGGATCTGAAACCACAACATCGCTCCAGGGTGCTTGGGCCCGAAGTCCGTAGTGCTACCAACTGACCTAAACTTAAAAAAGAATATCTTACATGATTACATACACTTATTGGTGCTTCAGTGAGCGTAGATAAATTAATTGGCAGATCAATAAAAAACTGTGTGAAAAAAAAATGATTGGTTTTAAATAGGGATGGGTTTTTGTTAAAAAGTTGGTTTCGGTTTATTGGTTGTTGTTTTGCCATAATCGTGGTAATTCGGGATTGCCATCGTAGTGAGATGAGAAATTTCATGCAAAATTCATGGGTATCATTGGTAGTTCTAAAAATGCATGGTTGACGCACTTGTATGATTTCAACATAAACGAGTCTTGCCGGACGCGTTGCAGAAAGTCAACAGTCCCGGAAGGTCCAATAATTTATACCTGTGCCGCTAGGTCAAAAACTACAATGTTTGCAGTGTCTGTAGATCAAAAGTCCCAGTAAGTCAAATAGTACAGTCCGAGCTAAAAACGTGGTCTATGTTAAAGCAATTGACTTATTGGGAATTTGACCTAATGCAACAGCAGTTTTAATATAACGAAATAAGATAAAATATAAGTTCAGTTTCGCTGAGTCAACAGTGCCGGAAGGTCAAAAGTATAATCTGTTAAAAACAGCGATAGTCCTCTCGACGCATGACTTCAATAATTTCGTGTTTTGGTCTACTTAAAGTTGTGCTAAAATTTTGAAAATTGGCACAGAGCTTCTTGGTTAGTCCTACTCGATGACTATTTTGTTGGAACTTTAAACTATTTACCGATCTAACTAATAAAAATTGATATGTATGGTGAAATAGTTTTAAATCGTGATTTCTAGCATGAAAAAGTTAGCATGCAAGATTTTTTTTGTTTTTGGGTTAAGGAGGTTTTGTCTGTGGCAAAGTTGTAGCCAAAAGTGTGATGCGTAAAATATATTTTTTTGAATTTTTTACAATCAGTGGTTCAATAGATAACTTGGGTTGAAGAGGACGGCAAATTTAACATTTCGCAACGCATGGAAAGAACTACATCGTACGATGCAACTGCTGAGTGGACTTTTAATTTACAGTTCTAAGTACAAGAAAAAGATGAATATACAGATCACCAGTACATTCATATTATTTATAAAACATCTTTCTGTATTACCAGCTTACATTTTTCACTTATAAGAATACATCATAAACAGGGTGTTAAAAATAAGCGGAGAGATACTTTACCTAGTAATTCCTTGTGTCAAAATAAACAGAAAATGAAGGATAACATTTTTTCCAAAATTGTTTCGTTAACCAGATATCCGCCATTTTGTATTTTTTACATACAAATATTTATCTTTACACTTTTCCAACCGATGTTTATGAAACTTGGTATGTATCCAACTTGGTATGTAGGTAGGAGAGACCCATGTTATAAAAAAAGATTCATCTCGATTCACCCTAAAATTTCAAAATTTAACTTTTAACTACAATATAATATACTTTACTACACCACAATATTTACGTATCACCATAAATCTTTAATAAAATAAAACGTTCACATTTTTAAAATCCAAAGTAAATCAATATAATCATATAATCAATATAAAAAAGTGCACTAGTACTTACTAGTGTCCAATAACAATTTGATGGATTTAACCAAAACCTTTTCTATTTAACTTATTTTCAGCTGTTAAATTTCAAACGATACGTTTTAGCTACATCATTAACATTATTATCATCATCATCGTTTGAGTTTGGGTTTGCGGCAATGTATTTTTATAATTAAAACCTTTAATTTGATACCTACCAAACTTGACCTCTGCTGCTATTAATTGACTATATGGACTATTAATTAACAGCTGTGTCTAAGGATTACGTCGGCCTTAGTCACTAACAGGACAACAAGATCGCTCCACTCATCACACACTCAACTCCATTCATACTTGGCTTAAAATGCATACATTTGTATGGTCGCCATTTTAAAAACAGGTAAAATAGTATTAAAATTATATAAGAATTTTGTCTTAGTCTTTGTGGTCCATCCCCCTTAAGGGATTAAACAGTGATAATAGCTTAAGACAGTAGATATTTATGGCTATTATATTATTGATATACCAAGTTTCACTACTTTATCTATATTGTTAAAAAAAATATAGCCAATCCAGGACTACGCCAACACGAAATTTTTCCGTTGAACTCCTCCGAATTTCTTAGGTGATTTTGACCATTCATGTCTCATTAGAAAGAGCGTGTCACGTACATTTGCAAACCAACCTTACATTTTTAAACCCCTTGGGCTCAGCCCCAGCGGCTCATGTTATGAACCCATGCTATGCCTATGAAGAACATATTGATTTATTTATATTAGGATCAGCCCAGTTAATTGCTGTTATGCAATTCAAGGAAATAATGTAGGTTACATTATTAACATGTTACTGATTTGTTTCAAATACTATATTTACTATTTCTATTTGGGTTTGCAGGATAATTTGATCCATTTTACCAAACAATAAAATTAATGGACAAAGTACTATATTTCATGAGCTATCATTGAAAGGACCGATTGAAGTCCTCATCGACCAAAATAATGCCTACTAAAGCAATTAAAATTGAGACGAACATGTAATGCACGAAATCAGGTGGTTCTTAAGTATGTGAAAAAATGTATCGCTATTCAAAAACAGACGGAAAACTTGTAACCATATTCTTGACAACGGGTGTAACCATGTAACATGGCTACATTATCAATGACAAACGTGGACACCTTATACGAGTGTGAGTACGTCCGAAAACAGAGTAAGTCCGAAAACAACTCTAAAAAACAATAAGCAATAAATTGCAAGAACCATTGCTTATATCATTGGGTACGGTATACACGTATCCACTGACGTGTATACTCAATGCTTATATCGAACTGTTATATGTACATCGTGAGTTGTTCCATTAGTTGTTTCATTTAGTTGTGTGTCCATTAGTATAGTAGTTTAGTTGACTCTTTTAAAGTCGGCGAAAATTGTGACTGTTATTACCCTTGAAATAATGTTTGTGAAGTACTTTGCAATTCTATCAATGCTTATAGAATCATACGATTACAATTTTCTGGTTAGAATATGTCGCATAGAGTGGTGACTAATGTATCTTTTTGGTTTGCTTGTAAAACAGGATTAACAGAGATTTTCCATCGACTTAAACAATACAATACTCCCAAATTGTTCATTGCAATAACAAAATATCACACAGTTTGATGAATATTTGTGTGTAAGTAAACCACATACAGTACACCTTTATTTTATCTATTTTACCTTTTATTTTTCCAAGACTTTATAGAAAATCACGCATTACGTGATCAGTGAAGAAAAGGCTGTATCCCATGTGTTTTATAGGTAAAGAAGACAAGGGCGCTCCTAGACATATATTTTGGGGGGTGGTCACTGGGGGCCTGGGGGGTATGGAATACCCCCCCCAAAAAGGAGGGGGTCTTGGGGTTCCCCCCAGGAAAAATATACAAATAAATAAATATAGGCTATACAGGGTGATCAACTCAAGGAGGCCACCATTGGGATATCGGAAACGGTAAAAATTAGAGAAAACTTAAAATGGAAGACATTCCTTTATTTTTTGTGGCAGTTTAAAATATGATTTTAGTCGTTTGAAATTCAGCCGCCATTTTCCAAAATGGCGGCCAAATTTGAAATTTCTTATCGAACACCCTATATTTTATAATGTTTTCGGACATAATAGGCAATTTTAAAACTTTTTTATCCTTGACATTTTTTCGATAAACCCACTCGTTTAGGAGTTACAGCCTATGGAAAAATGACTTGCGGTTTACATATTAAATCATGTAGCTCCTAAACAAGTAAGTTTAAAGCAAAAATACGAGGAGTAAAAAAGTCTTACAATTGCATCCACATTCCAAAAAGACCATAAAATTAATTAAAAATTTAAATTATATTTAAAAAAATGGCGGCAAACTTGAAAAGTGGAAAACTTTTTATTTTATAGTCTTTAAGGAATGAAGATGCAATTCTAAGACTAATTTACTTTTTGCAATTTTGCTCTAAACTTACTCGTTTAGGAGCTACATGATGTAAAATGTACACCGGAAGTCATTTTTCCATAGGCTGTACTCCTAAACGAGTGGGTTTATCGAAAAAGTGTCAAGGCTAAAAAAGTTTTTAAATTGCATATTCTACCCGAAAACATGATAAAAAAACTAAAATCATATTTTTAACTGCCACAAAAAATAAAGGAATGTCCCCCATTTAATGTTTTCTCTAATTCTTACCGTTTCCGACTTCCCAATGGTGGCCTCCTTGAGTTGATCACCCTGTATATATGAATTTGAACGGATGGTGTTTTTGGCCTCTAGGAACCTCAAAACGAAAAATTAAATCGGTCCCGGGTCCAGGTGTTACCATAAGTACTACGGTAATAGCTTATTCCCTATATGGGAAATTCGCCAAAAACCTAATAGTTATATAGAACAATATTACATTCAACCAGCTGTTAGTTAAAACAAATTATATGGGACTAAAACAAATCGATGATTACAAAGATTCCTTTAAAAAATAATTTGAACATCCTACTATTTTTCTATGCAAATTTAAATAATCTGCCATTCTCATACCTAGGAATTGAATGTATCAATGGTCAGCATTACACATAGTATAAATAAGTCAACTCTAAATATGTCTTTAAATTTGTTTCCAAATGCTGAATTTGTGTCACAAATGCTGAATGTTTACAGCTGTTATGCTAAGCAAATTATATTGTACTAAAAGCTGGCTTAGAAGGTTAGCGTTGGCTACTAGACTTTAAAAAAATTAAAACTTAATTTCTAAAAAACTGGGACCCTTAATTATAATTAAGGCTTTGACATTCCCTAGTTCTCAAAATTATCTTTCTTTCAACACAAAAATAATGAAAATCCGTCGACTGGTTGATTCAGAATGTGAAAAAACCATATTTACGTTTTAATAATATATATGATAGTTTGGACAGGTTTCAACCCTTCCGAGGCGTAATACATTTACACAGTTTATGTGTAGACTACATTATAACTTATAAAATAGTTCTAAAATTAAATGGATCTCCTTTTACAAACGTATATAATAACCAGAAATTTTCAGATCGTCCTTGCGTGTATTTTATGCCACAAATTTTGACGAAAGGCTTTTCATTACATAAACTATACCTATTTACAGTGTTGACCAAACAGTTGGCAAGAAGCATTAATAGATAAGCTATGTACCAAATATGATAATTTTAGCTCTATTCTAATTATGACAAAACACGAAGTAACTAAAAGCAAGTTTTGTTGGTGTAGTAAGCGTTGCAGGAGGTCTACTTTACACTGAATCGACGTTCACTTTTATTGCTTTTGATCTTCCGGCACTGTTGACTCAGCGAAACTGAACTTGTATTTTACCGTATTTCGTTATATTAAAACTGCTGTTGCATTAGGTCAAATTCCCAATAAGTCAATTGCTTTAACATAGACCACGTTTTTAGCTCGGACTGTACTATTTGACTTACTGGGACTTTTGATCTACAGACACTGCAAACATTGTAGTTTTTGACCTAGCGGCACAGGTATAAATTATTTGATCTTCCGGGACTGTTGACTTTCAGCAACATTCCCGTCTTGCCAATTTCAGAAACGTACGTTTAAGAGGCAGTTTTTGTGTTACTGACAAAGAATCTTTCATACATGAAGTACAAGTATTTTAGAGTGATTTACAAGGCTTTGAAAACAAAACAGGACAAGCTATTGCACAGGAAATGATGGAGGGAAATTAAACAAAATTAAGTCTAATTCTGTTTTTCCATACAAATAAAACAAAAATGTCAATCACAGGACAAAATAAATCCTATTTTATCACATAAATTTGGTGGTTAATTTTATTAAATAATGTACTGAGATGTTATTGGTTTTTGTCTGAAGAGCACAAATAAATTAAAAACTCATGGGCCAAAGTCAAAGATTCAATTTTAATGTGCATCTCTTTCAACCCCGTGCATGGTCAAAAACCCCCATTTTTGGGATTATAGTCTCAGAATGGAAAGGCCTACAAATGATTTTTCAAACCACATAAAGTCCTCGGGAAGACTCACCTGACATCAGCGTCTGACCTTGCTTGACTTAGAATGAACTATGTATTTTTTTCTGATCGTGGACCTTGTTCATGATCATCTTCAGACATTATTTTCTTTGAGTTTGTTTTCACGAACTGTTGATGAAACATTATACTTGGCAAATTTAATGCTGTTGGTTGAACTGTTATGAATGATTATGGAAATTCTAGATCCTATCAAGAAATTCATCCCTTTTTCCATGGTCACAAGAATTCATGCATAATTCAGAACAAAAAAAAATCTATTTGATACCTCTGGTCACCAAAGGAGCCACTCACCGTGGGGACTATAAATCTTAACTTAATTTAGATGATTTTGAATAGATAAATCATTATGAATTTAGTGAGCATGTGACAATACCTTCCAAGAAAGTCAGTAAACTTGAAGACTGTGTCAGGTATTTCGATGTTTTGGGCCTCAGACTCTTCATCATCCGCTAAAATAAAGTATATTAGTCAAGACGAGTTTACGATAAGGTTCAAGTAGAATTCAACTTTAAAGTAGTGATGACTCAAAACTGAAACGTTGGACAAGTTTTGGATTCTAGATGTGATAAGATGAAAATGTCAACATTTTTTTATTTTCAGTCAAAACCATTGATTGAAACTGCTTTTGGTATGAATCAAATAAATACTATACTAGGTAAGACACAGCCTGCAACCCAGTGAATAGGGTACATTCAACAAATAACTAAAGATAAATCTCGATAATTATTTTATTTATAATATTTCTACATATCAAACATCAGCTGTATTGTCCAATTCCACCAAAAGTGGAGGCTGTGCTAAAATATGGCAGATATATTTTGTGGATTAGTATGAGTAAGATGTAGAATTAAGGTGTCGAAAAGACCATCATTGAGACCACCGTTTTACTATGGGGCCTACTATACTAAAATAACATTGTTTTTCCTGATAAAAATTCAAACTAGTTTTTATATTCAATTGATAATGTAAACTCTTACCTTAGCAATCCTTATTGTGGTTGTCCGAACAAATTATTAATTTGGTATTAACATTAACTTAAAAAATATTAAAAATATTATAAAATATTAACTTGTAGGCATTGTTTTCGGACAACCACAATAAGGATTGCTAAGGTAAGAGTTTACATTATCAATTGATTATATAAGCAATCCAGAGGCTAAAATTATTGATAGTTTTTATAGCTTATAATTTTTTTTTATTTACAAAAATTATAGACCAAACACACTATATCAGCATAATAAAGCAGAGAGGACTACAAAGTAGTGTAGTTTGAAACATGGCACCAACAGCTCAATTACAGGTAGTTCCAGCTAAGCTGGCACTTGACCGATCGAGAGAAATTCTCTACTAACATACGTCAAAAACATTGTCTGCAGTCATGCGGGTTAGTATGTTGAACTCTTTCACTTTTATAAAATGTCTGCAATACAAATTATTAATAAATTTAAGCTTACCCATTTTTAATTACAAACAATATGCTTTACACTAAAAAGACACACATCCAAAAACCACTTTGATGCTAGCAAAGCTGACGACTTACTAATAAAGCAGAGTGTTTAGGAATTTCCCTGGGTTTTCATAACAATACCACACCGTATTAGTCATCTCCTATTAGTTTAATATGATGTTAGTCATCGTTTGGAGGCGCCAACCCCGTGAGCCAGCAGTGGAATGTTTGAAGAAAGATCTTTGCCTCCTTGTAGGCGTATTTCCAGGAATTTATTTTAGGAATTAAGGAATTAGGAATTAATTTGTAGACAAATTCCAGGCATTATTTGTAAATACTTTTCATGAGATAAGTATAAACTATTTACAGTAGACGTTCGCTAATCCGGCACCTCGGGGACTTTGAAAATGCCAGATCACTGTAGGTTTTATAAAACAGCCATTATTGCGAGACTAATGAAAATAGACGCTCTTTAGCATCTGCTAATCGCTCCCCCAACCCCACCGATCGCTACAAATGTTTGCCAGTGGCTATCAACTATGCTGTAAACTATCAATGTTTGCTGATTGCTAAATACAAATCAAATCAAATTCTCTTTATCCATTCACAGTACACGTTATTATACAATGAATAGCGTCAAATAAATATAAAGATGCATTATGCCTTACTTATCGCTTAAACAATTATTATCGTTACAAAACTAACGTTAAGCTTGAGAAGACTAATATTAAAATAAGTCTTTTTTTAAACATCAAAACAATTTGACTCTATTTTTATTTTAGGTAAATTAAATAAGAATTGTATGCCAACGAAACTGCATTTAATAATAATAATAATAATAATAATAAAATGCCTTTATTTGAAAAAACAGTTTTGCAATTTCTGCTAAAAAAAACTTTAATGATGTTCACCACCCATGCTTGCTGGTGGTTCACCAACTCCATCAATCGCTCTCAACTCTACCAAACCACTAATAAGGCTTAAAAAAGCATTAAAAACTTTTTTTGAACCAATGCCAGATCTTCAAAAGTGCCAAACCATCAGATACCGGATCAGCGGCTTTTACTGTACTATACTAAGTTTGAGCTTATTAACAATTGAATATAATATCCAGATATCCGGACACCCCTAATTTATAAATGTCTGAGAAAACAAAATTACATCAAATATAAGCATATAATAATAAATTATGTTGCAAATAAACTAATATTGTTGTTGAACATTTACCTTCCTCGTCTGTGGTGTTATCGGAGGGAATTGCAGCTTCTGTAAAATAATATGGAGTTAAACCAAACAATATCTAATATAAACATGATGTGAAAACACAGTCATTATTGCCTAGAAATTTATTTTCCACCCCCTCACTATTACTAGAATTAGGGAATGTAAGTAATATTGTTGTAATACTGTACTTTTGTTTTGTTTACATCTGTATTCTGTACTGTATCAGAATTCCATGTAGCCTACAGTAAACACCTCAAAATCGGCCTGACACCTTGAGACTAAGCAAAAACACGATCAATCTTAGGACTCAACTAAATCAGACCAGTAGAGTACACCGTTTATCAACAGATGCCCACAGATAGAGTTTGGCGAGGAAAGCTAAAGTTGTAAGCTGCCAGATAAAAATTGTATCCTTCATTCGGATAAGTGATCATAAAAAAAGGGCCAGACAACCCGAGGCCAAGTAGAGGAGATACTGTAATTTGACCTTGCCACATCACTCAATAAATTTACTCATTCTCATTAAGACATGTAAAACAAATAATTACCATTAACAGTAAGGATTATTTGTAGTTGAGTTTTACGAACCTGGAAGTTCACCGAGATCGGTAAAGAATATTTCTCGCATCACCAAAAACTCTTCATCGGGGCCCATGTCAGCCTGACCAAAACTGTTATTTTCTGGCCAATAGATTCTGAAACCAAATTTATCTTGTTGAGTCATTAGTCAACTTAGAGGTAAATAAACTCAAGGATTTCTGACAACAGATTTTAATATTAACATTTAAGTGTAACAATGTAGATAAATACTGGTTTACTAAGGTAGCACTGATCTTTTGATTAATTGTGATAAAAATGATTCCCTGATTAAAATGTTGGAATTTGTTTTCGTGTAAAAAAATGCACATGGGTCTGTTGAGACAAGGTTGGTTATTGGTAAAAATCATTACATTAATTTCAACGGATGCCTAGCCTAGATCATACGTTTCAGAGAAATCCTCTAGGGGCAGCAGCGATCAGGGCGATTCTACTCGGCGTTACCACTGGGTGGTGGTGGAGGTGGCACCGATAGTATGCATTCTTGAATCTTCATTGGGTGTAGATCAACCAACCGAAAGTTGGTCGGAATGAGTTGAGGGAGAAGATTGGTGGGGGTTCTATTGTTCGGCTGGTAAGGATTTTGTTTGCAAAATCATGCAACAACGCCGAAAGAAAGTTTAAAACGTCCAATAGAGCCGAAATAATTTAAAGCGTTGCGATTCGGCAGTGTTGGATTTATTTTGATTTCGGAGCTATTGGAATGATTCTAAATTCGGTACTCTGACAAATTTTTAGTGTTCATTCAATAGTGTTGGATTTTGAAATAAATATTTCGGCTCTGTTACTCAAACATCTCTTTCGGTGCTATTGGAATTTAAAATCCAACGTCAAACGTGACATTTGGCAAATTTTGAATAAAAACTTGGCACTATTGGATTCGGTTATATGGCACCTTCTCCTTCAATAATATTGAAATGCCCTTTTGCCTATTTAATTGTTTCAGAGACGAGATTTTTTCCTGATGAAGGGTATATTTTGTCATTTTCATTCCTAAAAATGACGATTGTGCAAAACGATCTGCACGTGACTTGCTTGTATGAAGGTTTTTGATCAAGCCATTCCAGAGGTCACAATTGTTTTTTGGTTTTAAATTTTCTTTTCATTTCTTTAAGTATTGAAACCTAATTTGTTTGGCCGCACACAAAACAGAATATTCACTACTAGGCTATTTACCTTCCAAGAATCTGAGGAGGTTTCCAGAAATGCTTAGCATCACACCCTACGATGTAAAATTTTATATTTAAGATTTTTACATCTGTTATGACAAACACCAAAAATTGCTTTACTCAAGAGTAGGCTAAAGAGAATAAGGGAATTTACCTACCTGAATTGACCTTCAAAACTATGTAAAACTTTAGGTATTTAAAATCATGTTAAACAACAACTAATCATTTGTTTATTAATACTTGTTAAGTAAGTTTTCAAAAAAGGAAGTTATGCTGGCACACCCTGTAATATCAGTATTCTTAGCCTTAAACTTAGGACGTACCTTGCTTCTCTTATCATTCCAATAGACTTTTCCAGATTTCCTGCCATTAACTCCGCCTTTATACTCTTCATAAACTTGATCCTAGAAAAAAATAAACAACCAATAGTTGATCTTATCTAAAACAAATGTAATTCATGTCCACGGGACTAACTTTTCAAAGCTCTAGTATAATTCCTGTATTTTCTTCTAATGTGATTGGAATTTGCAATCCAATGGGGGTATCTTCGCGCCAGCGCTAGCAACGCTTAAAGCTGCAACAAACGGTTGTTAAAGACACTTGCGAACACCGTTCACGCATGACATCACGCATCAAGGAAACAGCTGCCACTCTATTTGTCAAAAATGTTACTACCACGCAAACTTTTACATTGTATACAGTTTTTTTAGCTTGCTAATAACTTTTACAAAGGTTGCCTTTCTTATTTCAGTAGCAATATTAACTTAAGACAGAGTGTCCCCACTTTGAAGAACACTCCATGAGCTGTAAAAATTTATACCTTGCAAATTTTGTATAAAGATATAAACAAAATACCCCTGCTGCAGCAAACCTGCAGACTAGACCAATTTATATTTGCTTGATTGGATTTAAGTAAAGTCAAAGTATGTAACAAGAGTTCTCATTGGTCGAGAGGCAATGCTGCACTACCATGTCAGCCAATCGACATTTGTGTTTCACGTGAGCAAATGACGCTTGCTTTGACGTCCTTTTATGTGTTTCTGGTGTGGGAAGGGTATCGATATATATCGAGATCCGATATGTTGGACGTGTTTTTAAAACAGTATAAAACTAGGTTACAAGTTTAAAACAGTGTGATTTTGCTGTGTCTCCCAAAGACCTAGATTTGGCTTTCAATTAATGTCAGTGAACTAATTCTTGAGCTATGGCTTCATGATATTGTAATAAAAACATAGATTTCTTTCGATTATATCAATATGAATATTTTTGGGTCAAAACATTGATTGTTCCGATCCATCGTTGCCACCCCATCACGGAGGTTATAGTGACTTCGTAAGGGCCAGGACAACCTGATTTGTTGCAGGACAAACTGATGGAGTTTGTGTTTGGTGATGATGGCGCCAATATTCCGCATCAGTTTGAAAAAATTACCATGAGAAGGGTGCTCTTGTCGTAACTTGTGGTAATTCTGAAACAACTGACTGGCTAAAGAGGGTGGCACCGAAGCTAGCGCTAGGAAGTGAGGGGAGTATGGAGGTCATTGTAGCAGACTACAAGAATCTGTTGCGCACGACTAAAGTGCTCCTTCGCACTGACAGGCGTTTGGCCAAGGTTGAAGCCTCTAAAGTGCTTGTTCAGATTGAGCGGCAAAATCCTGGTGTCACGACAAAGCACTGGCGCGTCATTGGTGGGAAGAGGAAGGGGAAGGATGATCATCAGATTCTTGTTCTTGCTATTGATGAAATGAATGAGCAGGTTCTGAAAGATCGTGGTTGGATTATCTATCTGGGCCTGGGGAAACTACAGCTCAGAGTTATCTCTGGTGCTCCCTCTGATGACCCAGGTCCTCCAAGTGAACCTACAACACAGTAAGGCTGCCACGGCTGTGTTCTGTCTGAGCACGGTTAAGCAGTCCTTAGATTTTGCTTTGATCAGGGTGTCTACTACATTCTGGATAAAAAATTCATGGACAATTCCCGTACATTTAAGGACACTTTGCCGTAACCTTTGTCGGTGTCATTAGGCCTACCGAATAATTTTTCTGATTTGTCAAACTGTATTAATCTTGTTATTCACTGTAGTTGTACCAGAGAGAAAAGTAAATAATAATAGATATGAGTTAAACATTACAAAATAGAAATTTATTGAAAGTAAACAAACATAGGCCTACCTATACTTTAGGTAAAGCTTTTATAGTGTAACAGAGAAACGCAATCGTTGTCTCCTGCGATAGCGACAAATATCTCCATCCGTCACGTAAACTTCATAACATAGCTTATCCGATCCAGGACGATTAATTTGGCATGATTTGCCCTGGCACAACGTTAGCTTCTTGATTACTTTTGAAAAAAAATCTTTAATGCATATTGTTACTCAATTCTTAGTACAAAATCAATGTATGGTAAGCAGCTATTAATAAGCAATAAGCACAAAGTAAGATTATTGTATTTTCATTTTCAAAGTTAATATCGACACATAGCAATCATTAGTTGTTTATCTTAGGCTCAATTACATTTTCTTAATATATTTTACAGCTCTTTCAAGAATCAAAATACCCAGGCCTAAACTTTATTATTTAGGAGGGCCTATATAAACTGAGTAACAAACAATGAGGTTATAATAGCAGCAAAGTCACTATCATCATTCTAATTCATAAGATTTTGATTGCTAAAAGCATACAACTCAATAAATAAATATATGGGAAACAAAAAACATTGAAACCTGAATAGCCAACAATATAAGACACAGATGATACAGAAAATGCAATGACATAATTTGAAAAAAAAGCAGGCCTACATAGTGATAAAACATTAATGCAAACAACAATGCTTGTGGTTTTGTCAATTGAAAGATAAAATGTCTATAAAAAAGGGGTTAACTTACAAAATAAGACTGTAGATTATTTACATGTTTAATATGAAACCATAAACAGTTTTATGGCACTAGGCACTGGCCACGGCAAATTGAATCTTCAAGCCGAAAGTACAAGTAAGAAGTGAAATTTAACAGCCATTATAAAGGTATTATTTTCACATAAAATAGGTTTGGGATCTAATAATAATTACCCTAGTAATAAAAAAAGAAGTTGTAAAGGAATAAAAGTGATACAACTTTTATGAGCTAGCTGCTGAGTCAACAGTTCTTGGAAGTACTTGACTTGACACTTGATTGTCGTGATAAAATATTAATGGGTTTGAGATTGTTAATGGGATTTTTATTGCATAATTACTCTAGTAATAAATTATGAAAATGTAAACAAACATCTGATAAACCTTTTATGTGCTCCTAACCAACTAGCGATCAATAAAATTATGGCCCACTAAAAATTTAAGGACATAGTCTGGCATTTAAGGACAATTCCCGTACATTTCATGGCCAGTAAAAATTTAAGTACAATTCCCGGTTTTCCCGGATTTCCCGGTTGGTAGACACCCTGTTTGATTCAGGAACCCTGGGTCAATAATTTTAGAATTGCGGGGATTGGAACTATTAAGGGTAGCATCATCTCTGCATCTGTCCCACACCCTAGAACTTGCATTTGGGTTAAAGAGGGGCTAAAATGTAATCCAGTTCTTGAGCTTTGTTCGAGGGACGTAACAGTAATTAAGACTGTATGTACTAAATCTAACATAAAACTCCTGCTGGCCTCTGTTTACATGCCACAGGGCGACGATGGATTGTTCCCATCGGCCGAGGTTAGAAGATTGGCCGACCTCGCACACGAGTCTGGATCCGAACTCGTGATAGGCTGCGACTCCAATGCCCATAATACGGCCTGGGGATGCAGGGACACTAACAACCGAGGTAGGCCACTTCTGGAGTACATAGCTTCTTGCGGCCTACTTGTTGCAAACGTAGGCTCAGAACCAACTTTTTTAAGCAGGATAGGCCAATCAGTAATTGATCTTACCCTGTGTTCAGCGGGTATGGCTGACAGGATTATTTGTCTGGTCAGTGTCCCTTGAGCCATCCCTGTCTGATCATAGGCACATTGTCTTCAGGTTGGGGAATTTCTGCGGCGAGGTTCGCTTGTTCAGGAGCCCAGGTAAAACTGACTGGGCATCCTTCAGAGCTGATCTTTGGGGCAGGATTGCCTCAGATCTGAACACAAATGTTGATTTTTTAACAATTTTAAACCAAACTCGACTCGAAACTGCCGAGTTCAAAGATAAGCTCGATTTTCAAGGCCGTACTCGATTCAAACTCAAAATCTCGATTATTCGCACATCTCTAGCAGAAACCTGTCTGCTGGAACAAGCTTAGGGACTTCGACGAACTTAAAAAATATTTAAGAGTTTTAAAAAGTCCTAATACAAGCTATGAAACGTTAATTCGGAAAGTATGTCACTAACTGCAATACTCTACTAAATTGGTTGGTTAAAACGTATGGCTAGTTCTGGGAGTCAGGCCTAGCCTCCAAACTTCAGCTAAAATATACCAACTAAAAACTGGTAAAGCAATGTACAAAAACCTAAATGGTTTATTACAAAGCTCACCCAAACAATGTAGATTATTATCTAACCGAAACACTTCACTTTAGCTTGAAGAACTTCAGCTTCACGAACTTAACAATTTTACACAAGTTGACAAAACACTACCAAACGAAAACGAACGAACGAATGCCGGGCATCAGAATGACAATTCTTCACTCTTCTATGTTCACCTCCGTCACAATTCGAGACGAAAGTTAAATCACTCGCTGATTGGTCAATGAGTTACAGAAACAAAAAAGTGGCAGAGAAGGGAGGCGCATGACAGCTTCAAAAAGCTTTATAGCCGTGTAACCCCAAGGAAGGTGGCTCTGCCGCCTTATTTTGTCCTACAGCCCGTCCTCAAACATAGTCAAACAATCAAACAACCAACTGACACTGACGTCGTCTGCGGTCTTGGAATTAGAGGTTAGGTATGATGTCAGTTTAGTGTTGCGACTAAGCTTCTCCAACAGCCAACATCTGGCTGTTTAAGTTTCGTGGTCTAACCGTTATTTTACCCAGGGGGTTATTTTAAATGTGTAGGGACACATTTAGCCCGTTACATATTATACTACTTTAAAATTATTGAGTATAGTGTGTCAACTTACTTTTCCTCTTCCATGGGGGAGCCCGAGAGAAATGGTATTTCATCGAGTGGAATTTCAATATCGGTCACAAGCAGTGCCGATAACTCCGGACCAATTTTCTCCCAGGCGGAGTCTAGGTTGACTTTGACTGGAGCAGTCTTCTTAGATTGTTCTGCACAAACATTAAATAACTTCTTTAACATCTTTGAGAATTGAAAAAGTAAATGTAGATGCCCAACAGAGTTCTTCAATTTGTTGATCATGACTACTGACTGGAAATAAAAAGGCTACAGTAGACTCTCAGTAATCCGGCAGATATAGGACCGTGGTACTGCCGGATTAGTGAAAATGCCGGATTACTGACTGTTATCAATAAAAACAATTAAAATGCAATCAAAACACATCTCCAAATCGCGATAGAAAACCGCTATTGCCGCGATCGGCCATGACGACGATGACATTTCGGTAGTCGTGGAAGACTAAAAAATTATTATTATGATTATTGATTATTATTAATTATTATTAATGATTATTGATGATTATTAATGATTATTAATTATTAATTGAAGATCAACATATTCTCAATTATCAGACTAGGAACAGAAGGGATTTCCAGTTTCCTATTCGTAGATTAAGTTCCTTTGAAAAGTTGCCTCAGAATTTTGGAAAAAATGTATATAATAAGTTACCAAACAAGATAAAGAATATTGATAATGCTCAGTTTAAGTTTAAGACAGAAGTTCAGTCCCTGCTTCTAAACAAAGTATTTTATTGTATTAAAGATTTCTTATGTGACACTTTGTAATATGATGTAAATATGAATATAAAATTAAGGAATTTGATTAAGTTATTGGCCAAAAGAATTGTATTATGTATATATTTTGCTTTTAGTTTTTAAGATGTTGACATGTCACCTGTTTTACCAGCTGTGCTGGAGGGGAAAATGTTTTGTGACAAATAAAGAATTTTAATCTGAATCTAGCTAAAAACAATATGGATGTAAGGTAACACAATTAACAACTCGACAGAATATAACCTACACTTTACCATCCTAATCTAACTGAACTTCAAAACATTTAATGCAGCCACGAATCCGCATAAACCCTGACCTGCCCTTCCCTCATGCCTAAATAAGATCAGTGTTAATTTTTTTAACTAAAATAGCAAAGACTGCTCTCAGACTATAAAGTATAGTAATGATTTCCCTGAGCAAAGCTCAGTCCCTATGTAGTTCTGTTCAAAATATTGTAAAAAAACACTTTGCAAGTTTCATCAAACATTTCCTTATGACCAACTTAATTAGTCCATTAGGTCAAAGAGTTTTCGTTATCTTGCTTCAGTGTTTTACGGTACTAAATTTCACTTACTTTTCTTTTTTGACGTTTTCTTCACAGGCTTTCCCTGAACGATCATAGTTTTGTGAATTTTGCTGAATCTCTCCAGCATTTTCAGGACGAGATGGGTGGTTTCTACTAGATCCTTTAAGTAAAGCCTGAAAATGTTTTTGATGGTTACAACTTTTATAAAACAGACAATTTATAGGTCTTATAAGTATTTATAAAATAGTCATTAAACTTGTTTGATATAATTCTGAGATTAGTAACAACATTATTTGTCCCCTTTAACATTATATTTTTTTATGTGCTTTTATTGTTTATTATCTACTTCTGAATTGATAATACTCCAAATAGATTTTTGCACATTTTCCGATTTTTAAAATTTTGAGTGATGTTCTTTTTAAAATGATTTTTTGTTTGTTTTAATAGATCATGTGATAGATGTTAATTTTTAAAACGTGCATCTTTTGCCAATTGTATTAGTTGAATATTTCAGTTTTTAGGTTGTTTGTGATATTAACAGGAATCAGATTCTTTTAGGTTCAACTACAGTAAAATAAGCTGGCCCACCAATATCACCATAAAACTGCACTGACTGAGACCAAGCAGCTTGGGTTTATACTTGAGGCCTATCATAGTGTTAGCATAATTAATCATTCTTAAAATAATTGGAGTTTAGCTTTGCTTTTATATTTTTCCATTTTACAAGATTAGGCTACCAATCCAAATTACCACTAAACATATTACCTGGAGAACTTGATTGGAGTAAACACGTTGTAAAGGTGGATGATTAACTCTCTGTATTCACTCTGATAGAAAACTTTTCTCTCAATGGTAACTGCTGATTTTTGTACAGAAGAGTCGCTACACGCTAACATATACTGAAGGGTCATCAAAAGCTCCTGAAATGATAAGGTAATCAAGATAATTAGAGTGCAATAATTGATGAATCAGTTAATACCTTCTATTTTATTAATTCTGGCTCTTCTTCGTTTTCCAACAACTTACCTACATCAATCAGAGTGTCCACAATACGAATAGAATATATATTAATCCATATCATCAATCTTTCAATTAGTTATCCAGTCATCTAAGTGATGACTTAATATATATGAAAAGTTGTTGCGTGAAACAAATCACATTTGAATTTCAATGACTCGTACAGTCCTTATCTTACACAAACGATGAAACCACAAATAACTCTCTCTGGTTGTATCACTATTGACCTTATACGATGTAAAATCACTACATTTTGTGTGAAGTAGTTGTTCCATTCCCATGTTGAGGTTGTAGCCAGTTGTTTGTGTTGGATAGAACTTAGTTAATAACATGTTCTTTAAACACAAGCTTTTTAAATATACAAAAACTGAAATGGAAACTTTTTGTAAACCATGGTACAATTTATGTCCCAATTTACTCTAATAGAATGAAAATCAAATAAAATGGAACCTTCACAATCACACAAATTACTGGGCTCATTCAACTATGTTACCTTTGATAAAAAAATTGGCTACAATTTGTCTGTATAGACAGGAGGCTAACTTCGCAACTGAAAGTCAATGCTTTTCATTTGGCATTTCAATAGTGTTAAATAGGGTCCACAATGCACAGTGCTATGAATTCTTCGAAAATGACAACATTATGAATGTGTGATAAGCAAGTAATGTGCTGAAGGAAATATATTAACTCATTTGTTTCCAAGCTGCTCATAAAACTTTCTACACTAGCAAGACTATGTTTTGTCACTGTCAGTACTTTCGGACATTATAAAACAAACAAGCATTTGATTTTAGACTTTATAAAATAGTCTGAAAATTACTTTTGGTTCATGTGGCCTAGTTGTTTAAGACACTTGTGTAATATGTGTATGTGTGAAAAAAAGGAAGAAAGTACCTTTGGAACACGCTAGGCACGAGCCAAGGATTGTTTTTCACATTACTTCAGGCTAGACCTAGGGGTTGCGGCATTATCACTTAGATAAAATCCATTGGTGACTTGGCGAGGATCAAACCCGGGACCTCAGGGACTGAATTCTCGCGCTCTAACCACTACGCTCCTTTTGCAGTACTTAAAATGCTGAATTCAATTTGCTTCTATTTCTTTTGTAACTTACCTGATAAGCTTTCAGCCCAGAGTGGATTTTCCTTGAATACTCTGCAGTATGTTTCTTGTCAGTCACCATTTCTTCAAGCCACGTTTCCATTCGTGTGTACAGAAAATGGAATATCTCCTGATCCATTGTTTCACTATAACAGTTATAAACAATATTGTTACTGGTAACAAATGAAAAGCTGTAAGTAATTCTCTTTAGGATTTACAATTCCAAACAATAACTTTTATTTAATAAAAGTGCTTGTGGTCGGCAATTTTGGTATGTGACAACTAAAACATAATTGTGTACTCAACAAATATACCTACACAATTGAGGTTAGAATTGAGCTAATAGCACAATAGAGCTAACAGAGGAACTAAATATGCAGTCCAAAAGCTAATTTTGTGTTGTTTAGATAAGTTGGGAAGGCAAACAAATTTATCTTTTAGATTTCATGATCAAAAACTTGCATTTTATAAATTATAAGAAAAAACATTATTATTTTTTAAAATCATATCTTTATGAATGATAAAAAGTTTTTACTGCAATGGTGTCTTTTCTGTTTATAAAGAGGTGTTACATGGTGAACCCAGGGCTCAATGTCATTCCCAGTATGCTTCATCATCTACATTAATGACCAGCCTAAAACATACTAAACCTTATCTATTTGCAGGTGATTCAGCAATACAAATTCACAGTAAGAACTTGATCAATTCTAAGGAAATTGCACATGAAGAAAATGGCTTAATCAAAAAGTGGTGTACGGCTAATAAATTGTTCTTAATTGTATAAAAAAATGTGTTTAAATGCGTTTAAAATTAAATAGTAGGCACAGTAAAAAAATTTTCAAATCTTTCAGTAGTTTTTGTAGAATCCAAAGTCGAAAGTTCATATTGATTATACTGCTAAAATACATAGCAAATGAATAGTTATGATCATTTCTGACCAACCGTAGTATGCATCTTCTACGACCAAAAGAAAAACACTATTAAGGAGACATGCTAAACAAAGGACAGTTAATACCTTGAAATGAATAAATTATGATCACAAACATTCCCATCTCAGTTATGGTGATGGTATTTTATAGGGAGGTAGTAATTATAAAAAAAAAAAACTGTTAAGTTTGTATTGCAAAAACAACCTTTAAAATCATGTAAAATATTGATTTTGGTACAAACAGTAAATATTTTTTTAGGGAGGCCAATATTTTAAGTGTACAAACAATGTATATTTAAAAGTGCCTAGTATTTACAACAAATAGTATATGTGAAACAGTCAAGCACGAATATTATAACTAGATCATAGCACCACAGCTAGAACGATTGTGACCACTTTTGAGATGATTTCACATGATCGCGGCAACATTCACCATTGTGTCTCCAGTGATTATTTCAACTCATATGACTATTTTTTTTTGGATAGAGGCAACATCTGAGATCATCTTGCAGTCTCAGCAAAATCCGTGATGATCTTTAGTGATTGTGGCAAAGGCCTGGATCATTACTTGCGATCACGGCAACATCCGTTATTGTGATAATTTCCCACGATCACAGTTTTCAAATGAGCAAAACAAGAGGAATTGGTGATTTTGAGCGTTTTTTTTTTATTAATCAAAATTTTCAATTTCCCTATTCTTTACAAAATTCACCAAGAATTCACCGTTTTCCTGGTTTCTAGGTCGGCTAGACCTGCATTGCTAACCTCAAAATTCTATTTACTGTTTAATCATCACCATGAATTAATATTACTCCATTTTTATGTTTATAAAAACAGTTTATAATGTAAGAATTAATTTTATCCATACAGCCTATTTAATGTTGATTATTATTAAAATTAAAATTAAATTAGTCTAACCTACATTACTCACTACTTTTCCTCACTCTGGATGACAACTGAACAAAACAAAATCACTAGGAAATGCAAAGTGAAATGTTGAGCAACTAGCTGCATTGCATGTCCTAATTCTAGGGAGCAAAGTGCTACTATCTATGAAAACTGTATAAAAATAAATATAATAGTGTCTGAAGGTTAAGATGGGAAATTTGAACGCTTGAGCAAGAATCTAAAGAATACATCAAAATTGTAAAGAGTCTAGTGTCCCTTAAAATTTGTCAGCAAAGTTAAGAATAAGAATAATTTATTCCAATGATCTTTTTACAAAGAAATAGGACACATCATATACATTACAAAATAGTCATCTTAATCCATTCAAATTTCTTACAGCCTATATCATAACATTACATAAGTAACAAATAATCATAACTTATTTTAATTAAAATTTTACATCAAATTTGTGGTTGATAAATTCACTTAAGCTGTAAACAGGATTTTGAAAGAGCCAATTATAAATTCTGTAAAAAAATATAAAAATCAACAAATTTTGCACTATTAGGTAGGTAGTTAATTGAAAAGGCGAATTGAGTTGATTTTGAAAGAGTCACCTGTTTTAGCAAGTCTAAACTAAAACAAAGTTAAGGTTAAGTTGGGCAAGTCTTGTAATGTACCGGCTCATCTTTAGCTTTAATTATGTGTAAACTTCATATTGGTGTTCTTTGGTCCAGGATCACTTCTAGAATATTAAAATAGTATAAGATTACCTGTTTCCGTCAACGGGATAACGGGAAGGGGCAGCAAGGTCAGTCACAACCCCAGTCATGATAAAACGTCTGCCCATGCCGCGTCGGGTGTGGAACTAGTTCCCGAATTTATATTAATCGTCTTTGTCTGTCAATATGTCTCGTGTTTATTTATTTAAATGTTAGCGTTTTTGTGTGTTTATAAAACCCGACGATCTCGCAACAGTGACAACAAGAGCCTGATGATGAGGTTATAACCTTGAAAACGGTTGCTCAATACAACAAATTTAGGATCACCGACGGAAACAGGTAATCTTATACCATTTTAAAATATTAAAAAAACTCGCACTGATTTTGGAAATTTAAATTTTTTCTAAATATCTTCAATTAGTAGACCCAGATTTATTAGTTCACAAGTGACTAAAGAGACTCTCCCTACTAACAAAACGCTGATACTATGAAGCAATTTTAACACAGGCTTATTTGAATGCAGTTTTCTTAAAAACATACCTTATTAACTTCACTTGAAAGTTGTACAGTCGGTTGAATTGCATAAAAAAACTCATGGCCCAAAAGTAGTACTTCTCATCGTCTTTGTTGTTTTTCCCTCGTACAAGATTTTCCTGTTGAAAAAAATGTTCCTGTTGAAAACAACACAAAAAACACAGGCTGTTTTGTTATTAAATACAATCCATTCCATTAACGACGGAATGGCTTTTGGTTTTTATTATAAATATGAATGAATACTTACAATATACTTCCAATTAACCGAGGTATTTTTTGGGGCCGATACTACCTTGGATTCTGAGAATCTCAGCATGGAGGGTGCTAATTTTTTATATTTTGAGGTTAGGTGTTACAGTACTACATTATGAAGTAAAATAAATGCAAAATATGTTTTAACAATACATAGGGGACAACACACTACTCAATAGAATTTTCTTGCCAACATTTTTTTAAATAAAATCAAAGTTTATTGTCACAATAACATTTTTACATAGCATAGCTATAATAAAGGTGACATTGTCAAATTATAATAAATTAGGGATGGACAAGTCCCAAAATTTTGGGAAATTTTCAGGAAAAAAATATTCCCGATTCTCGGGACGGGATTACATTTGATTCGGGAATTTAACGAGACAGGATTTGATCATATCATCGGCAATTTTGCCGCTTCGCGAGTGACGACTACGCAACTATCACGAGAGGTGTTTAAGATAGTTCCACAAACGCAGGAGGCGAAGTCATTTTACGATCATGCCGTGACCGCTGAGTCATACTGACGATCACTCCGCGACTGCGAGTCATACCGAACAATCACGATGTGACCGCGAGTCATTTCAACCATCGTGCAGTGACCTCGGAGTCATGCCGACGATCACGCCATACCCACGGAGTTATTTTGACCATCACAGCGTGACCACGATCACGCCGTGACTGCGAGTCATACCGACAATGACACCGTGACCGCAAGTCATACTGACGATCACGCTGTGACCGCGGAGTTATTTCGGCCATCACAGCGTGACCACTATCACGCCGTGACTGCGAGGCATACCGACAATGACACCGTGACTGCCAGTCATACCAACGATGACACCGTGACCGCAAGTCAATCCGACGATCACACCGTTACTGCGGAGTCATACCGACGATCACGCCGTTACCGTGAGTCGTTTCGACGATCGTGCCCAGACCGTGAGTTATTTAGAAGATCGCAACCCGACCGTGAGTCACAATTTTCTATACCTGTAATTTTTACATATTTTTAGGTTTTTATAGATCCACAAATGGTAAAAATTGATTTTGTTTTGTGATTGCAATACTCAAGACTTTTAAAAACAAACCCTTTTTATGCACGTGAAAAATCCCGTCCCGTTCCACCCTGAAAATTGAGAAGGAAATAAAAATCCCGTCCCGTCCTGAGGAAAAATACTCCCGCCGCAGCAAACCTGCTGTCTAAGCGAATTTCCATTTCCCTGAATTAGTTTTTAATAAATCCATTTAAATAACATTAGGTTTAACGAGTACCTAGGTTTGCTGTTAAAGGGAAATTGATAGTGTGTTTTTTAGTAAAATATTAATAGTATGAAATAAATAAATTTGCCAAGTTTTATCAAAATATATCAATAAACAAGCAAACTACAACATTTTACAATATTCTCCTTAGAATAACATGGGAATTTAAAAATTATATGTATATATATTTTTTCTCCGTAACTAATAGTCGGCCTACAGAAACACTTTTAAATACTGCATTATTTGTTTTTTTTTTCAAGCTTTTTAAAAAGACCTAGAGAGAAATTGGGAAATTTTGTGTTTTGAGGATCAAAAATGAGAAATACCAATTTTTACCCTATAAAACTCCCCCTAAAACCCCGTTCCCATGGTCCAATAATGCTGGTTCGCGAACTCATCCAAGTTTATCCTTACACCTTCAACAAGTTAATCGCGACCACGGGCACATATACATTTCTATATATATATATAGTGTTTTTGGCCTCTGGGCACATAAAAACAAAAAAGTAAATCGGTCCCGGGCATAGGTCTTACCATGCCACCTACGGTAATAGCTACTTCCCTAAAGGGAAATTCGCTAAAATCAAACCCGTCTATCCCAATAATAAATACAGTACATTGTTGGTCAAACTTATATTCTGTATTTAAAAATCAAATACTGACTAGTGACTACTGAAAAGTAGTTCACAATAAAGATTTATTAATATGGTACGGTAGTAGTTTTCCATAGAACATTTAGACAATTTTTTTTTTTAATTTAATTGTGTACTGAGTATATTTTTTAAACCTGGTAACTTATTGTACAGATTTCCCCTGGTACCGGGTGGTGCAAAAAAAGGAAACCCAAAAATAAATTATAACATATTGTTCAACAAACCAAACACAATTTTGAATACTGTGCTGCGGCATCGAGTACTAGCCTTCGTGAAAACTGTTAAAATGTATAAGAAACAACACTTTCTTTTGCACCGCCCCTAATGTTGGCATCTTTTCAATGAGACACATTTAATGGATTGGTAATGGAAAATTATTTTTAAACCTTGTGTTATATCTGTGGTTGAAATTGTCCTTTCGGAACAGCAAAAAGGTCGGATTATCAGAGGAACGTGCATTAACATAAAAACGTAGTAAAACTGTATTTTGAACAGACCACGGATAACTGATAACCTCGGTTAATCCAACATGACATAAAACAGTTATTTCCAACTCACAAACTAAATGGACGTTAATGTAATAATTTGCATATTACATCATAAAAATACAATCAGTAGGCTATTGTGCGATCATGATAATTATGTTATGTCATTACCCTTGGTTCAGTAATAAAAATGTTCACGTTTAAAATCACAGCTTTTTCAAGCTTTTACTCAAAACATAAAATTGCCAAACATTGTACAGCAAAATAAAGAACAGAACATTAGAAAGTCTAGTAAGCTACTGCTAGTCATAGGCTACTGCTACGCTGTTTCGATAAAAACATTAACACATAAAAAAGTATTAAAAAATAGTAGCCTACTTATAGCATGACAACAGTCATAAAATACACCGATAAAGATAACAATGACATAAAAACATCGCTTATTCTTTCTCTTTGTTCTTCTATTCTTTCTTAAGTTTCTCTTCATCCACCCATTCAACAAGTTGCCATGGTTACTAAACACCCAATCACAGGCTACTAAAGTTGTCATGATTACCAAATACCCAAATCACAAAATGTTGTGGCATAGCAAGCGCACAGCAGACAGATGTGTCGTGTGTAAGCCTAAGGAGCAGACAATTGTCAGTGAAAACGGATAGCTTGACCTTGAAGCTTTGATCGGCATTCCTTTGTTTTGCTTCCATTTTATTTTTGTCAAATGAACTGTGATTTTCCAAAAAGAATAATGAGGGAGCCTAATTAATATTAATAATGGACAGACATGGTTAAATATACAACAAATTTCAACACATTAGACTAAAAAAAACACAATTAATAAAGTTTTCTGGGTATTTTTCTTGGACAATGAGGTTATGTTACCGGAAGCCTATTGTGTTGGCAGCACGGTCGGACCAAGCGAGGAGTCGGACCATCAGAGGTTGGATTAGCGAGGTTCTACTGTAGAACATTCAAGTATTCAAGTAGTATATTCATACTCAAACATTAAGAAAGGGGAAAAATACTCACCCTAACTTTCCGCATCAATGTATTATACGCTCCATTAAGAAACTCAATGGAGTAATTTTTTAGGAAGAGCCGCACACTGAAAGGTGATCGTCGCTTCGGCTTGTTGTCTTTCATTGCCTGCTTGTTTTTTGGGATTCTGGCACGTTGCTGTAACAAGTAACAAACAGTGAGGTTTTTTTTAATTCACTTTAGGTGAAGGTGAGTTTATGCTAGATTCAAGTAGCCTTTAGAGACATTCTTCATGAAAAAACATCTTCAAACAGTAAGTAAGTGAGTGTTGTGTGCACTGCAACAGGTAAGATAAGACATATTGTCTGAATATGTTTGATACACAACAATAAGCATGGGTATAAATGGAGCTGTTGCACACTGCATGAAACACGACAAGATTTTACAATAAAATGTCTTTCGATAAAACCCAAGATTTGTTTCTGTGTATGCGCTGCCAAAATTGTGACAAAGTTGTGGGGCTTCAATTCCCCAGCGGAGATAAACTTATTACTTTACTGGGAGCTGGTCTAATAGAGCGTGGCGGGGTGATCCCGGGTTGAAATCCTAAGAATTTAACTAAATGATAATCCCGCAACCTGTGTGTAAAACAAGACCAAACTAGAGCCTAGCACGAAATAATACTGCACTATTTTTGAATCATTGTAAAACTGATAATTAAAACATGGCAATAGTAGAAAAGCACTCAAGAGCTTACATGGCACTTATATATTTTATTAGTTGGTTTTATTTTAATACAGTTTATATTGACTTAGTTAATGCAATGTTAATTGTATTTGTTAACTAAATAAATATATTATTTTGATTATTATTACCTTTTCAAACAATGAGGATTGGGACATGGCCTTGGCTAGGGGCTTGTGAAAAATCACATCATTTTCACTGATTGATTTTACACCATCAACGACAAATGTTCCTCCGAATCTCGAATGCCTGCAACAAAAATTCATCCTTAATTGAGTGAAAAATATTGAAATATATTAGGACAGAACAAAGCTGTGTGGCTGACAGTATATGTTTAGACCGAGAAATTATGCTTTATGATAGATATGATGTTATAAATCACAACACATGAAGATGAAACACCAGCATCTAGCAGAGCATTTTGAGAGTGATTGAAAAATTGTAGTGATATGAAAATTGTTAGAGCCAATGGTTATAGAGAAAAGTACCAGTATCTATAACGGATGTTAATGTAAATATCAATACTCAGCTATGATAGTGGACAAGTAATCCTGAATATAAGGGTTTGGTCTGTGTCCTAAGCCGGGTATTGTTTACCTGTGCGGCACCGGTTCTTCATTAGCCTACTGCCGCTTGGCTAAAACAACAATGCAACATTATGGCTTCTCATACAATTTCTGTTAGTTCGATAACAAATTTTACACCAATTGTTAATTTTTTTTATCACAACAATCACTTAATTAATATAAACGTAAAAAATTTGCAAATGTTAGGCCTAACCAATTTACATGAAATTTGCAAATAAATAACATTTTTAACCAGAACGACAATGACTACTTACCTAGCGCTAGCATATTTCTTCATTTTTGACTCTTTTTCTAGTTTTTCCTTTCTTCTGATATCAAGGAGTTCTTTTTCATCTCTTTCTTTCTCGTCAACACTTCTTTCAACTGTAGCTTCAGCCAAAGATTTAGGAGTTTGCTCTCTAAGCATTAATACTGTTACCTGTATCAAATAATGATTAAATTACGAGTACCTAATAAACTGTAATCAAATTAATTTTACATCTAAGCTGTGTATACAAATTTGTTTATAAATAGCCTAGCAACAAAGTCTCACTTTCAAAACAATTCAAGCCACTAATAAATAAGGGCTACAATGTGCTCTATATCTTTTTTTTTTCGAACAAAGTTTCAAAATGTGGAGACTTGTAGTAGTTTAAAGTTACTCTTATCATTCATTGATTATTAACAGTGTAAAGGAGGCCATTTGATGATTTATTTCAACCGTTAACATAAAGAAATTCCAAGTGAACACTAAAACCAAATATAATTTAAAAAATCCAAATGTTAGAAACTATAAAAACAATTTTTGAGTAAGCTACATAATGCTAGATATGCAAGTGGTCCGACAGAAATTATGTTAGCTTTTTTTTAATTCTACTCAATCTTTATACATGGTGTTCAAACAATTTGGGGAAATAATTTAGGTACTGGTAGTGATTTCTTGGTTCAAAATAAATAGAAAACCAAGAATACAACATTTTCCAAAATTGCTTCGTTAACCAGATATCATTATGTATTTTTTACATAAACATTTTTGTCTTAGGATTTTATAAACCGATCTTAATTTTTTTCTTATTTTAATTTTTTGGTATCTCAATTTAAATTTTAAAAATAAAATGGTCACTATTTCGAAATGTTTAAATGGATCAAGGTAACTTTTTTTCTTACATGGGTGTCTTCTACCTTAACATAAATACCAAGTTTCATAAGATTGGTTGAAAAGATCTTTAGATAAAATGGCTAACAAAGCAATTTTGGAAAAAGTCGTATTCTTGATTTTACCTTTATTTGTTTATTTTGTCCCAAGGAATCATTGAGTAAATTATGTCCCCACATTTTTGGAACACCCTGTATATGTTTATTGTGTACCATAAAAAGAGAGTTTGTGTTTGTATGTCCAGTGTTTTCTGCATGGCCACCCACTCTTAGTTGTTGTAGGTAGCTACTGAAATGCACTCCAAAGTAAGACTATTTCCACTTCAAAATTGACTTGGGGCTCTGCACCGCGGGCTTTCAAATATCTGAGGTGAGGTTTTTCAAAGTAAATATTGATTGGTTTCCATGGAACCGTAAGGATGTACTCACAATGTTTACAAACTGACTATACATTTTTTACACACCAGATTTTTACAAACTAAAAATATTATATTTTTTATTACAGGGTGTGTAACAATTGATATACTCTATTGCCTCCCTAATTATCATTTATTGAAGTTGGCCACTTCAAAAGATGAATTAACACCTTTTTGAGTTGATGAGCGCGCAATCAGCTCAAATAAAAATTAGAGGATCATTTCAAACAATTACTCCAAACCCAACCAGACAATAGCCATTGTATCAGTTCACCAGCTCAACTGATAAGGATGTTTCAACTGATAAGAGAGTAGCCTGGGGCAGAGCGGTCCAAACCTTGAACAAGACCAGTTGTACCTGTCTGAAGATTCTTCATGTTGTCTTCATGAAGATTGAAGAATATTCACCCTCGCACTCAATGTGGATTTTAACCATTTATTTTTAAATGGATGAGGTATGTTAATGTAATATTCTATATGATTGAATTTCAGTTACATAAATTGCAAAATTATGATATTTTATCCAGAGTTAATTACCAAATTCAAACCACATGTTCTTGTATCATGTAAAAACAATCCTGTTCAGGTCTACTCCCCAAAAATTGAATATTTTGTTGGAATATTAATTTATTAAGTTCATTAAATGTATTTTTAAACGTTTTCATGTGTCCAAAATAACTTAAAAATCTATATCAAGTTAGGCTGGAAAATAATACAACAATGTGAATATTTTATTCATGTATTTAAATTAAATTGAAGAAATAATTATCTTTTGAAATTAGTCTACTGTTTCTTAGAATAAATAATGCTTTGAAATTATAATTAATTGTCATATAAAAATATTGATATTACTATTTCAGTACCCTTTTAAAAAAATGTTAATTTCATTCACAAGTAAATATGCTACTTTAGTTCTTAAAGAGGTAAACTAAAAAAAAAAGAAACAATAATACACTGGTTTGAACTGCATTAGAGTTAATTTATTTTAATTTGTAAAAGTGTTCAATTAAATGTTAGCTTTGTTCTGTTGAATGTTTTGAAGGGTAACATATTATCAATTAATTAGTTGAAACTGAATATGTGTTATATGTGATAAATAATATTGTATTGCCACTCATGAAAGGATAACACACAAAGTATATTAAACTGTATGTAAATCTTGTGTATTACTGAGAAATTAATAGTTAACAAATGAATGAGTTATTTAAATATTGTAAATAGTTTGAAGTTGGAAATGTTATTAAAGTAGAATTATGTAGCACACATTAGTATTCAACTAACTGATGAATTTAAATGATGTATCGCATATTGAGTATAATATTTTTAATTGGAGATTCTGTTGAACAAATAATAATTGGATTGCAGTAGGCCTTGATGTAAATATCAGTACAGTACTTTAAAACAGAATATTTGTATTCAACATATTCAATTTAATCTATTATTTGTTTGTTTTACTTCCAACACAATTAATGTTTTATTTGTATAAAGTATAGTGTAGGGTAACTTAATGACGGATTAATTAAAATAATTGTTTATTTTATGGTGAACTTGTAAAAGGATTAAATAATTATGTAACAGCATTTATGTGTATATTTCGGTAATTGCTTAAGACTATTTATTGGGTTTATTGTACAGGGTTTTTGTGAGCCCTTCACACCATACTTGGAGGATCTACTGTGACAGCCTACAGGACTTGCCTACTGTGATTACCAGTATCTTCACACCTATCTGGACCTCATTGACCCCGTGACCTGTGTGCTATCTACTTGTGTGAGACAAATCGGTCTAGACCGGAATTCCCTTGATAGCTACCTTGTGCGGTGGACTTGGTGAGTGACATATTTACCTATTATTTATTGCCTGGACTTAACAAGGACTTATTGGAGGACAGCCCAAGACACTTGGACTATTCACGCCTGCCCGGATTAATCTTTTAGGTTAAATGGGCCCCCGGTCATTGAGTTTTCATGTGTTTGTAATTTAGCTAGTAAGATTTTGGTTAGTGTTTGTGATTGTATTTATATGTCTTTGAAACTGTGCATTTTAGGTGAGCTATTGAATGCTTTGAGCTACAGAAGGGGGATTATCTGATCTAGAATTATATTCGGTTTCTTATCCAGCCATTTGAGCACACCTCAGAGGGAAAAGATATTACATTGATTGCAATACTGTATTCACAAATCAATTGATTTATCTATTTATTTATTTGTTAATTGCTAGTGATTGTCAATTGCTCTTGATTGCCTTAATTTCAAAGGATTAGATCCTTGGTTGCATGGGAATGTAAATCATAAATTATTGTTCTATTGACCTTGTGTATTATCATATTTGGTATAATAAATTCTCTAGCATGGCCATGTACACAAGCGTTGTTGTGTTCCTGTGTACTGTCTAGTTTAAAAATTTATTGTTGTAAGTTGGTTTAATTATTGATTGGTTGATTACTTTTGACACTTAAAAGGATTTTGAACTTAGTAAACTACCCAAAAGTTCTTGGTTAGTAGTAAACTATATAGCCTGAGCTATCTAATCATATCATCAACTGATAAGGGGTAGGTGAGTTCTATGCTAAACTGGGTAACCATTTACTACTACTGATTATAAGTGAACTTGCTGATAATAGTATTATTGTTGTTGTCATTTTGGAGTAATATTTGGTTTGAATTTGGTAAGCTATTAGCCGCCCAGCTGATTGTTTCTTTTTGTTATCTCATCCAAAATATCATCCCATGAGTACAGGAGAACTTCCTTGTTGGACCCTGTTTTAAATTCTACTCTACAACACGGTGGCGCCCAGAAATAAACACTAAGAACATTCAGTTTGGATTATTTAGTAAGGTGTAAGCTTTGAGTTGGACCACCCCTTCTCCCTGAGAAAGCTGAGGCAAATTTGGGAAAGGTTACAAAAGGTTACAGGTGTCCGTCCACAGAACTGATTTTTTAAATTCCGTATTTTCCTGCCGGTACTTCAAGAATTCTCGATATTTTTACAAAGAAATACTAAGAGTTTCAATATGCAGTTAATAGTGTAAAACACAACGTAGCCTATTGATATTTAACATGAGATTATCAAAATATCTATGATGGATATTAACTTATAGGTACATATATGATTTGGAATCCATAATCCAATGGGAGGGGGTATCATCACGACAGCGCCGGCGATGATCATACGCATGACGTAACACGCCGTCCTGGACGGCACTGCTTATGACACACACAGCTGACTCTCTTATAGATAGAGTTATCTGTCTAATATTTTGTTATGACTTTCGCACGATTTCACTGTATATACAGTTTTCTTTGGCTTGCTAATGATTTTTACAAAGGTTGCCTTTGTTATTTAAATAGGCCTATTAAAGCTATAGAAAGTGTCTGTTTTCATACCTTGACAAGCAGGGGTCAAATTAATATAAATTTGGCAACACTGTATAAACATTCATCAGATAAATTTCATGCAGCATGTGTTTTAGTGTGAAAACTACAAGTTCAAAGTACAAATGCAACTTTAGTACAAAATAAAATGTATAACAAAATTCTTAAATAGGTCAAATTTGAATTAATCGTGACTTAAATATCAAGACAGATTAACTGTACTGAATTTCATTGACATAAAACCCTATTACTTGCCTCCAACACATGCAAGTAGAACTGTTGTTCTTGTCTAGTAGAGGATATGAATAGAAGCAGATCCACCATCCCCGATTGATGCATACACCATAGAACCTGAAACAAAACAAGCACAGTTGAACCATACAACTCTCGGAAGACATAAACAACGAAATCATTAATTTTTGTAGAAATCTCCAATAAGAGAGGGAATATTCCTGTCACCTGAAAGACCTTTTGCAAATGTTTGACAGATGGACCAATGGTAAAAAAATATAAAGGTTAATTACAAAGGCTTTTTGGTTTGTGCAAGTCTTAAAAAAATATTAGAATAAACAAGAGGATTTTTATTTTCTACCCAAAGAAAACTATCTCTTCCATAATTGTAAATTATGTCAGTGACAGTGAAATATTTTAATTTTTGTATAGTGTAAAGCTTTTTGTCTATTGTGTCATTTTGGACTCTTTCCCATTCAGGTAAGTCTGCTATCCTCACAGAAAATTTTTAAAATAATTAGTTTTCTTAGTTTAGATTTAATTTTCTTGGCCAACATACATAAGAGACAAGATTATATTGGTCTTCAATTGTACATGTATTGACAGGCCAAATTTAGAGCATACATTAAGTATGGGTTCGTTCACAAAGAAAGCTGGTTACAATCGCTTGTTGACAAGCGCTTGCAAGTTCATGCACTTGTTCATGCATGTTTTATTTTGTAATGAGTCGGATCATTCTATACAATCTGTCTAGTCTCTTGAATGTATTGTTCCATGTATATTTACTATTCTTGTATTTATTTTTGCAGACCATCTTGTTTTGATATGTATTGTTTAATGGCATTTGCCGTAGAAATGAATAAATGAAATGAAATGAAGTTCCAACAGGCGTGAGAAAAGTCTACATTGTATCAAGCGTGTGCGTTCACAGACAAAGCTTGCCCAGGCTAGCAAGTGCTTGCTACAAGTTCTGACAAGCATGCAAGAACGTTTTGTACCGTACCCTTTTTCTGGCCCTTGTTGACCGAACCAGTCAGTGGCAGTGACTGACAAACAACTGTGCAGTATGGATGTTGATGGACTGATATCTCAAGTCTTTAGAAGAGGGGCTTTTTGGGGCAAATGCCTCAATCTACATGCTTTATAGTTTCTTGAGGATGTAACTAAACGTGGTTAACTCCATTCTCATAAAAAAAAACCTCACTTTGTCCAATGCCAGTTGAGGAAATGGTGGTATTCCGCAAACCAACCTCTTCCGCGGTTAATTGCATGAACACCAACTTTCCTTCTATGAATTTTTAATTTGACATTTTCAAGCAATAATAATTCTTCGACAACCAAAAAAACTAGCATGAAATGTTGCTTTTGTTGTGTAGACACAACAAAATTCTCAAGCACTTGGAACCAGCGCTGAAAATATGTTACTTGTAACCAGCTTTCTTTGTGAAAACTATTTGTCTTTGTTGAAAATTTCAGTCTTTCTTAAGCTTAGTTAATCAAAATTTATATAGACGAGTATTTCCTATATTCCTTTTATTACTTTTACCAAAATCTTTAGTTCAGATAAAGTTAAATATTGTAACTGATGGGTAGCAAAAAGTTTACCTTTCATAATAAATATTAAAACTGTATGAAATTGGGCCTAAACATGCGCTAGATTGGAAAAGTTTTAGAGTTGGAACCTAGATGTAAGATTATCAAGAAGACAATAAAACAAAGCTATTTGGAGGTTTGAGAAGTTTGCTTCCATTGGTCTTTGCCATACAAGGTTGAGTTATTGAGGTTTTTTAGGAACTAATTAAATATGTTAATCAATAATTACTTGGTCATGAATGTTGGCATCATTGTCCGGGCGGTTCTCAGCAGCTTCGTCAACAGGTACTTCCAGTACGTTCCTTACCAGGATTAAGATCCTTTCTATGGTCTTTGTGTGGTCTTCGTCCCTATCTTCATATGGCTGTAAACAAACACAACAATAAGAGGGTCTGTCCAATGTAACAATTATATAATTATAATAGAATCATAATTATAATATTATAATACAGTAAATATAACAAAATAATAGTAAATAACCAAGAGCTAACATTCAATTTCACTATATAAATAAATAAATAGGCATAAATAAATAATTGATAAATACGAGGTGATAGACTATGCACTGACTAGACCTACTATCAGAACTTACAAAGTAGGCTACTATAAAATTTTAAAATACAACATGTTGACATGAAGAGAAAAATGACTAGGAATTTAAAAAGTACATTACATGATTTTCAAATTGTTGTCAGATAAACTAAAAAAATAATTTACCTTCTAAAATAGTCAATTAACCAAAAACGTGTGCAATTTTTACAACTTTACAAAATATTTTTATAGGCCTAAATGACTTTACCTAATTAAGAAAAATTATCTAAAAATAAAAATTGACTTTTGTCAATTTCAAAATCTTATGCAAATTAGTTCATAGCATTTTAACTAAACGTTCTTTAAAAAAAAAAATGTGATTATTGGAAAATAAATAAATATATGTATGATCCATCCAAGCAGACTTCTATCCATGGAATAAAAACGTTGCTACCATAGTTTTTTTCAGACTGTCTAAAACTCTTAAAAGCCATATTGTAATATAATTTTAAAATATACAACAAGCTAATACATTTAATACGAAAATACATTTTAAAACTAGGCCTAAATTCAACAAATTGCTTCTGAACAACCGCTTCTATTCTTTAAATGGTTTTTTTTAATGCCTGGTATTAATTTTTAAGTAGAGTTAGCAAATTGACCAAAGTACTAGATTTTGTTGGTTGTGGGGTTAAATCACTTCCATTATTCTAAATGCCACACATTTTTTTAAAGAATAAGATTATACAATTATAATATTTAAAATATGTATTGTAACATGTCTCATTTTATCTAGTTAGCTATTTTGTGTTCATTAACTGACTATGCTATAACTTTAGCTGTTTTATGACATTGTCAATAATTTGCAAAAATTCAAAGGACAATAAACACATTTCATGTGTCTTTTGTATGTGGACTATACAAGTAAAGGACCTCTTTTAACAAATTTAAAAACAAAAATGTACCTATTCATCAGTATCTAGCCTAAATGGACACTTGGAAAATAAAGGGTCATTACAAGAACAGTGAATTATATAGACTTACAATTTCCAACAGCTTTTCAAGCTTTGAAGTCAGAACCTCCCACACTTCTTTCTTTGTGAAAGCTTCTTTATAACTTTGCAAGTGGGAGAGGATTTCTAAGAATTCACATCTTTTGTCCCGTTCTTGTGGTAATTCCTCTTCATAAACCATAAGCACAGGGGATGTAAGGATGAGAAGCAGTCTGTCAAAATAATATACTGTCAAATCCTGGACTATGAGACCTAATACAACTACCTAAGTAAGCTACGGATAAAAATACATTCCCATTTGACTAATTTGATTATCAATAGAATATTGTCTTTTAAAAATGTTAAGGTATAATAATGAGTAATAAGGTTTGCTGCTACAGTTAAAATAATATTGTATATTCATTTATAAGTGTGAAACTGGTTTTTGCCAAGTAATTAAATAAATATACGGTAGCCTATAAATGTAAATAAATAAATAGAGTCTTTTGGTTTGGAGAAATAGCCTCTGGATCATTATTAATCATTATTATAATCTAAGGCTTACCTTACGATCCAATTGATTTATTGTGGAGACCTAGGTTTCTACGCCGGATGAAACACAAAAAGTTTAGCTTAGCCTAGGACTGACGATAACGCTCCGGCGTAGAAACCTAGGTCTCCACAATAAATCAATTGGATCGTAAGGTAAGCCTTAGATTATAATAATAAATAGAGTCTATAATTTGTTTGACAATATTAAGAATAATTACAATATTTATTTCGTAACCTTTTTTATAGACCAAGATTTGTTGAGTGGCAAAGTGGATTTACTGCTAATTTGTTGTGTTTTAAGTGATATGGTGATAACAGGACTGGAGAGATAAGGAGTAGGCCTAAACTAACACAGACTGGTGGAAGTGATCAACTTGATTTTCCTGCTTTTTAGTGAGCTGCAATCAAGCCATATTTGGCTTTTGTGTGACAGGTGGCCGAATGAAACAAAGGAAATGGGCTACGAATAAATAATTTATTTACTTAAGACTTAAGACAAAACAAATATGTAGCTTCAGACTTGCTGTATTTATGTTCAGTTTATAAATACAACACAAATAAGTTATTGGGGAACATAGCCTCCCGAGGAGGCTATGGGGAAAGGCGACGCAACTTTACATGACCGACCGAATTGAATTTATAATTTAGACTAACTCAACTGAGTGCTCTCTGCCCATAGCCCAGAGTTGGGCGAGGAGGGGAACCAGCCAATCACGTTGCGGCTATGCCGCGTGACTTCAGTGCAAGCACCGGACAGTGCTGCCGCGTAACGATCGCCCAGGGCGTTAGACAAACTGTAGCTGCGCATTAACTGATTTCATCGAGCAACCTGCAGAGCTGTCTCAGCGAATTCCAGCCATGCGCGTAATACTTCGGAGAACATTGGCCTGGCCTAGCGCTGAGCCACGGCTGACGGAATATTCCATGGTGAGGCAACTGGCTGACGCAGAAAGTTGGGAGGTTAACAGTCCAATATTACATACCCTCTTTTTATATTTGAAATAAAGCAAAGCTTTTGTGATGGTACTGACAGGGTTTCTTGAGGGTGTAGCAAAAACCTCCCCAACTGATATGTAGGGCCTAATGGGTCTGGGAATTTTTGGGGCCGTCACATTTGCAACATGGTAGTTATGATTTTTGTAATAATGTATTTTTCAACTTCTCCCAAATTAATAAGATTTGTTTTCAGTGAAATAAGCTTAGTATCACATAACAAAAGATACCAAATTCCCCATAAGTATCACATGGGTATTTGAGAACATGCTGGTTCATGAACTCATTTGGATAAACGTAGGTTTACATGTGTTGCACATGTTTATAATGTAGCCTTCATGTTTGTAAGCGTAGATACTCCTGAAATACTTCATATCATACGATAATAGTTGCATTAGGCCAACCAACCCCTCATAGGAGGATCCACAATACTGTAGGCTACTATTGTTTGCCATGAGACCAAATGGAAAAATTGAATGTATTCACAGCTCAACATCTGGAAATCTCTTATATGCTGTCTGGCTCCTTGTGTTACTAAAATTTCATGATTTAAATCAACTTAAATATTACAGTCCACAAAAACATAAGCAAATTATGTCCACCGGTGATCAAGAAAACCAGGACTATGACTAGGCCTATATATATCATAAGTACAAAGTACTGTTACTTTCATGGCAAGTATCATTAGTAATTTTGTTTATTCCTATGTGTTAAGTTAAATCAGGAGGTATGTTAAAAAAACCATGTCTAAACAATGAAAAGGTTTTGCAAAAACCAGTCATCACAATGTAGGTCACAATATTTACATGAAAAGATATATCTTATTTTAAGCTATAGATATATACAGTAGGGTCTGGTTATTCCAAACTAACCGGGAACCGAACCTGGTTCGGATTGTCAGGAATTTGGAATAAGGGGATTTATGTAATTATTAATTAACGCCATGGCGGATGATGTTCATGGTATCGCCGTAATATTGGATGACACTTAGAATTTCACCGTGACTGCCTCAAACTTTTGATTTTACGATCGCCGAAAGCATTTGCGAAAATACACCATCGATAATTTTGCCACAATAGCAGGTGATGTTCAGGTTATTAGCGCAACTACGGGAGACGATGGTGATGTGTCTCAGCGATAGTAGCAGATGTTCACGATTTTGTCAAGACTGTGTCAGATGTTCTCGATTTTGTGTTAGCTTCACGATAATGTATAAAAAAATAATAATAATTTCTAAACTTTACCTTGGAGTAGGTGGGTTTTTGAAATAGCAGAGGTTTGGAATACAGTAAACCTTTGTTAGTTTGACACTCCTTGTAGTTCGATATGGGGTGGTGAGCTATTTTTTCAAGTGATATTTAATGGTTACTATTGTGATGTAGGCTGACTTTAACATTAATTTGTCATTTATTGTTGACTTGAGACTAATGAACAGTGAAATTGTTAAGCTTTTTAGTATTTAATAAATTTGGGTGATTTCTATTTTGTAGCCTAGGCCTAAAACTTGTGTTTTTACTTTCCTATATATTAAACTCCATTTACTCCCTATAGTTTGACATTTCGATAGTTGGACACCCCTTACGTCCACAAAGTGTTGAAATATCGAGGTTCTACTTTACATTGTAATAAGCTAATTCAGGGTTGCCACCAAAGTGAGATAAAAAAATTCATGCATAATTCAAGGTTTTCATTGGTAGTTTTGAAAAATTCATGGGGTATATGCTCGCACATTTTCACCATAAAAGAGTGTTGCCTAGTTCAGAATTGTACATTAATTTATCGACAATATATAGTTTTGTGTGCTACTATCAAATAAAACACATTTCATGTGTTTATTTTAGAGTTAAAAATAAGAATTTAATATAATTTATCCAGTCTAAAAAAGTAAAATCACAGATGAAAAAGGATTAATAAAAATCTTGTGTGTGATAATAAGATGTAATTATTAAAAAAAAATTGAAACATCTGATTTAACAACATCATAGGCCTAATGATAAATTCAAACGTTAGAAGAAATAATAAATAAAAAAATAAGTCGGATTGGTAGTTAGGTCTAGGCCTAACCTAAAAAACATTGCATCCAAACATAAAAGGTTTAACTTAGTTAATCCAGCAATGGCCTAGAACTTTACTGTCTAAACATCAAATTAAGATAATAGGCTACTATAAAAACAAATGTTAAGAACATGATCAAGAAACGGTTAACTTGGTATGAATGGGCCATATCTAGGCCTACTAAAACGCACATGCAATTTATTACTTTATACTGTAACACAGTAGGCTAGCCTACATTGTAATCCAAAACTGAATCTTGGCTAAGTTAGGCCTGAACCAACTTTTATTTATTGAGAAGATTAAAGGTTACCGACTGACTGATAAAAACACTCTAAAAAGGTAAGATTATGTAAATAAATATTTAGTTAAAGCTAAGAACGAAACAAAAGTAATGGAATGTATGTAAGTTTAGACATAGGCTAACTTACATTAAGTAATAAAAAAATAATTAATTACATTACAGAAAAGGTTAAAATAAACTTAGTTAGGAGGATGTTTCTTCAGATTGGATCAGTTTATATATTATTATTTGCCTACACAGGTTTAAATCACAGTTAAAACAATTATTTAATTAAATTTACATCTCATTAAAAACTTAGTTAGATTCGTATTGACTGAAAACACCTAGTTATATGCTTCAACAAAACATTTACATTTACCTTCCTCAGAACGAAATCACCATTTTTCAGCACAACATTGACTTCTTGCAACTTAGGCCTAAATAAATAAACTTAATCTCACGTTGTAACACATTTACTCAACACTGACAGTAGTTTGAAATGACGACATATTTGACCAAAACAAACACAGAAGACGATTAAGTTCCAGCCGGCGCAAGCCATTTTGACCTTTATGGCAAGGCAAGGTACTTCTTATTTTAACGTTGTAAAATATCGGAAGTATAATATATCAGTAATAAAAAATATTTAATCTGAACACTTGTTCCACTGAGTGTTGGGTAATCAATTATAAGAAGCACAAAACGGAATCACGAGTGCAACAAGTGATCTTACTGTCCAGTGTCCACCACTACTTCAAACTTCAAACGTTTGACTCGTTTCTAAGTTTCAGATCAGTTTAAAACTTTTAGGTTATGGTTACTCTGTATTTCCTTCCACACGAACACTAGAGTAGAGAGTAGAGAATGAGAGCGAGCATCAATTCCGATTGTCGATGTTTTCGAAACATCAATGTCTTTTCTATCGATGTTCGAAGTTATTTGTTTACATCGATGGTAGATTACCGAACCGATGATTTGGTTTGTTACATCGGTCTTTTAGGCCAACAAAAGTAATGAAATATGAAATATTGATGTTTTCCGTAACTGAATTGTATTGGTTTTAGGTTAATTGGCTGTTACAGTGCAGAGAACAGACAACAGACGAGAAACTCGGAACAAACATCGATGTGATCGATGTTTTAGCTCCGAAAGCATCGATTTTATCGGTAGATCGGTACTCGCACAGACAATAACTCGGTGGTAGAGATGGGCGTTATAACATAACAGGAATAACAGGATGAATAACAGTGTTGCGGCCACGGCAACGTTATCGCGGCAACACGTTGCAGAGAACTCCCTGTTATTATAATAACGTATCTATCTACACAATGTTGCAGAAAAGCCGCGCGACAACGAAAACGAAAACATGCATTGCCATTAGTGCCGTTGCCGCAACGCTAACTTCTGAAACGAACTAGAATAACGCATCCTGTCTGGACAACGCGGCAACGCCCGACTCCCGAGTCCCGACTACAACTGAAAACTGAACTGATCAACCGACAATGATAACTGAACGCCGCAACAGCAACACCGACCAGCGGACAACGGTTTATAGCGGCAACGAGTTGGCAATCGTAATTGAAATAACAGGTTGCCGCAATACGTTATTGGGCAGCTGCGTTATCGTTATAACCGTTGCCGGAAAACAACGATAATTCCCATCTCTAGACTACTCGGCTGACGTCGGTTGCGATCGGATTTGACCTTGAATAAACTACGCAATCGTTTCTGTTCGTGCCATGGCAACAAAACTTTTTATCTTGACACTCCCACTTTGACGTTTTATCTCGGTGTTCATTTCGAGAATGGTTTTAATACGGAGTATTTGATTCAGCACATTTAGGGGTTTTGGCTGAATTGTTAATAATGATTTTGAGAATTCATGGTCCAATGACGAAATTCACACATAATTCACGCACTTTTTCATGGTCACCTAAATTCACGCATAATTCACGCTTTTCAAGGTTTTCATGGCTGGTGGCAACCCTGTAATTAATAATTTATTATTCAGATACAAATTAAAATAATTTCCACTCATCTTTTATTTTGTATAAGTTTGAATTTACAGATAACTCAAATTTAGTGAGAGATAAGACTATGGTTTAGGTCATCCTAAGCCTAAGCCCACTGTCAACACCACCCAGACAAAAACTCAGTAATCTGGTTTAATACCCGATCTCACTTTCAAAATTAGGATTGTTACCGGTAGGCTACTATAATCTATCCTAATGAACATTAAAAGAAACTTACCGTAAAAGTACGTAAAAGAGATCCTCATCTTCTGAGTGTTCAATTAGTATAGGAATAAGATCTGTTTGAAGGATTTTGGCTTGTCCAAGGTGCTTTCTAACGGCCCGATCTGTATCTGAGCGTAGAAATCTAATGAAGTCAATGATTGTCTCTGAAAACAAAAGTCATTTTAAAGAAAAGTTTTAGGCTGTTATTACTAAGATGGCAACAGACTCCAGATTTGCCTTAGTAATCTTGAGAAAATGTGCTCATCTAATCTCATTAAGATAAGCATAAGATGAGTCGCGACTCACCCTCAACCGGCGCCGTATCACGTGTGTTGTTACCGTCGTCTGGTCGACCAATATTAAATGTTTCGTGTTTACGTGTGATATGTTTTGTTCTCTATTTATTAATAAACTTTTGACGAACTCCACTGCGAGGAATATGAAGACTACTTGACATTCTTCTGACCTGATGATGTGCTCCATTTGAAGAATAAAACAGCTGTAGTCTTACTAACTACAAAGGATCGTTTTGACAGTAACAAGGTAATTTAAACCACTATATAGGCCTAGTTAATTCAGACGATCCAGAGGCCATTCCAACATGTAACAAAGAAATGAATAGTATTTTGTTAAAGCTTATAAACTAATAATTCACTATCCCTACTTCGACTCGGCAACAGTCAAGAATTAACTGAACGATTGTGTAGGTGAGTCGGTGGCTCAGTCGGTAGCGTCGCGGACTTCGGGCCCAAGGCAGAAGTGTTGTGGGTTCGGATCCTGGTCACTGCCACTAACTTTTATCAGTACAGTTCACCTTTGTACTGTACCGGCTCACCCCTTGCTTTGCTGGATACGTTCCACGCACAGATCTGTAGTCTATGTGGACGGGCAAATGCAAGGTTAAAAGAGGCCGCCAACCTCTTTTTTTTTAAGTGAAAGTAAAGTATAAGTTAATAATCGCACCAGTGACAATGTTTACTGCAACGATTCGTGCAACGACGATCGTCCAACGACTGCAGTTCCAGGCGCACCAGTGACAACGTAGCTTTAGGCCTAAATGCAAGTGCCTATATTGGGCCTAGTTTTGGCATTCAACGTCCACACGGTGCCTAGTTTTTCGGGATTGGATCAAAGATTTTCTTGAAACGGCAAAGGGTTTTTCATCATGATTGTGTGGAAACACAATTAGCTAGGCAGAACATTGTAGATGCCAACATCAATGGCTCCAGCATTGGGACAGCCTAGAAAACGTAGGCCTAGACCCTAACTTATGAGAGACAGATTTTTCATGACACTCATGTGGGAAAAGGGGTTTTGAATTGGCAAAAAGGTGTTTTTATTATGATTGTGTATGGAAACCCTACTTGGTAGGCAGAACATTGTAGGCCTAAATGACAAGACCAATGGCTCCAACATTAGAACGCAGAACACATTGGGGGAAGCCTAGGCTTAGACCTAGTATTTATTGAGCCTAGGCTAGCTAAGAATGTGACTTACCTTTACAATAAATGTTTTTAGTGTAGGATCCTCCGGACCAAAAGCCTAAGGAGTTGCAGGCTGCTGATAATTCAGCAGACAATAAACCTGAAGTCATCTCGAATTTACAAGCCTAGTCCTAACTTAGGGTCGAAATAAAAAGACAGTAATTCACTTCACATATCCGATAGTGGTGGGTAGCAGGAAAAATTAGTGTTATACTGTTAAACCTAATTGCTAATCAGATAAAGTACGATATCAATTTAATCAAGAAAAACTAGCTCACATCACAATCACTAAATGCAATGCAACGCAATTTTATTCAAATGGCGTCATTAGCGAATAATGGCGACATTGGCAAGGGAAGAGGATTGACGATTGATCATTAGGCAAATTCTAGGAATAGGGAATAAGAGAATTAGAGAATATGTGAATTCGGAATCCTTTTTTTATGGAAATCGCGGGAAACTAGATTTTTGGTGCAACTACAAACCAATCAAATGTCGCGTATATAATTATAAACAAAACGAACCAATCACGTAACAGAAATTAAGAAAAAGCACATTTACATGGAGTACATTGTTTAACCACAGACTATTCTCTATGGTTTAATCAGCTCATTCCCATATAGTCGACATCACGAAAGGTCGCAAACTACTATCGTCGACAGGTTCGTTATAATACAAATAATCCCCCGTCGCAACAAACCTGCGACTAAGCAAATTTACATTTGACTCTAACTTAAATTTATTTAAATAGCATTATGTTTTATGGACATGAAGTTTGTTTTCAGTAAAATATTTATAGCTTAGTATAAAATAGATAAATGGGCAAGGATTATCAACATATCCAGAAATAAGCAAACACAACAATTTACTTATTCTCCATAAGAATAACAAAGAAATTTAAATTTACAATTTTTGCGTCAGGAAAAAGTGCACAATCTTTTTCCCAAGCCCATCACATACACTTTGAGCTATTAAAATGGTAATATACAGCGTGCAAAATAATCAGTATGAGTATGATTGAGGCAGTCCCGTAAATTACTAAGCTACAAAAAAAGCCAAGTCTATATGATTGATACGAACTCGCGTCAGGAAAAAGTGCACAATCTTTTTCCTAATCCCATCACATCAACTTTGAGCAATTATAATGGTAATATAAAACGTGTACAATATTCAGTATGAGTATGATTGTGGCAGTCCCTTAAATTACGAAGCTACAAAAAAAGCCAAGTCTATATGGTTGATACGAACTCGCGTCAGGCACAATGCGCCTAAGCCCATCACATCAAATTTGAGGTATTCTAATGGTAATATACAATCTGTAGAATAATCAGTATGAGTATGATTGAGGCAGTCCCGTAAAAAGTGCTCAATGTTTTTCCTAAGCCGACCATATCAACTTTGAGCTATTATAATAGTATATACAGTGTGCAGAATAATCAGTATGAGTATGAAATAGGCAGTCCTGTAAATTACGAAGTTATATGGCAAAATCTATATGGTTGATAGGAACTCGCATCAGGAAAAAGTGTTCAATCTTTTTCCTAAGCCGACCACATCAACTTTGAGCTATTATAATAGTAATATATACAGTGTGCAGAATAATCAGTATGAGTATGATTTGAGACAGTCCCGTAAATTACGATGCTATAACGCCAAATTTACATGGTTACTAGGAGCAAGTTACTTGATTTGAGTGTAATTTAAGTTATTTGCGGCACCGGCATTGTAGCCGCTATCTAAGAATGAACAACCCCAGACATATTTCGGTGTTTCCCAAAGACGACCTCCTTAGCTCTCAGAAGAGGTTGGTAACAAGGTTATAAATTCAAATTGATTTATTCTTCAAACAGGTTTTTGCAATTATGACAAAATTATAAAATATTTGTCGGTTTTCTCAATTTAAATAAAATTCTCCATCAGTCCCTGTACGATCAAACTCGTATTTAACTGTAATCAAAAAAATACAAAACTACTTCATTTAAATTCAATCAAGTCTTTTTATTTAGGTTGGTGAACACCGACATCACTTCGAAAACCACTTTTTGGGCTCAGGATTCAGAATAATAATATCTAAGCTAACTTTAAAGGTTTTGACGATAACAATGCCAACGTAACTTTTGCCGGTAACAATAGGCTGGGTTTGTGAATATTGAAATGGAATACTGAAATATAATTCAATGTACTATGTGCAAACTTCAATATTGGTCCTATATGAAAAATCAAAATCGAGTAGTTTATCAAGTATCGATCTTCTTTCAAAAGTAGTTCAATACATCATAAACAACTCGGTGAATCTGACCTATTTTATGTTTATTTTTCATTTTAATATCTTTTATCGGTAAGGACATATTTTGTATCCCATATCACTGGAAACGGAATACAAAACATAACCTTACCAATCATTACTAGCAATACTGTAAATGCTTAAGCCGACAACATAAGAGGTTCAATAATGAAATTATTGTCTACCATTTTTTGGTGAAGATTCAATGCTGCAATGGCACCCTGGCCAACGTTAGTGATCAATTCAGTCACATAATGGAACATTAGAACAAGAACACAACAGATCTTTATGCCTCAATCATACTCATACTGATTATTGTACACGCTTCATACAATTTTATAATAGCTCAAAGTCAATGTGATGGGCTTTGAAAAAAGATTGTACATTTTTTCCTGGCGAGTTCTTATCAACCATATAGATTTTGCCATATATATAACTTAGTAATTTATTGGACTGCCTCAATCATATTCATACAGATTATTCTACACATTGTATATTACTATTAGAATATCTCAAATTTGATGTGATGGGCTTAGGGCAAACATTGTGCACTTTTTCCTGACGCGAGATCCTATCAACCATATAGACTTGGCCTTATAGCTTCGTAATTTAAGGGACTGCCTCAATCATACTTATACTGATTATTGTACACGCTTTATATTACCATTTTAATTGCTTAAGGTTGAAGTGATGGGCTTAGGAAAAAGATTGTGTGACACGAGTTCGTATCAACCATATAGATTTTGCTATATAGCTTCGTCATTTACGGGAATGCCTCAATCATACTCATACTACTGATTATCCTGCACTCTGTATATTACTATTATAATAGCTCAAAGTTTATGTGATGGGCTTGGGAAAAAGATCGTGCGCTTTTTCCTGACACAAATTCCTATCAACCATATAGATTTTGCCTTATATTGCTTCGTAATTTTCGGGACTGCCTCAATCATCTTTATACTGAGTATTCTACAAATTACAAATTGTATATTACTATTAGAATAGCTCAAAGTTGATGTGATGGGCTTAGGAAAAAGATCATACACTTTTTTATGTTAGGAGTTTTAATTGATCGCGTGTTATTAAGCCATAGCTACGTATAATGTACAATACGGCCTCAAATATGCCTATTAAAATACGTCAATTAATTAGTTTTAACGTGTATACATACACGTTTAACAAGATAAAATTGACATTATATAAATGTAAAAACATCATTTCGCACCGTATTGTCATTGAATTGCGTTTCCGACATCCCTGCAAAACACGCTTGTGGCGTCCGCAGGCGTACCAACCCATATCTATTACAATCCGAAAAAGTGCCGCTAACTTCACGAATTACGACGGTCATAGGAGTAGGTTATGGTTAGGTCGTTAGGTCCTATACCAGCAGCCAGCACCAGCAGCAGCAGAGCACTCCTTTGAAAGAAAGTTGAAGAGTTGAAGTGAAGTTGAATTGAAACAGCTCCGGCTCCAGGACCAACGGCACACTTCTACAATTTTGTTCTTATTATCTAAAAAAATATGCCTTTCTTTCCGCAGCCATAACCTCATTTTCATGTAAAATTATATAATGAAAATTATTTATTTATTAGTATTAGTAAGCAGTGGCTGCTAAAAGCTGCTATGCAATGTGCTGTGTTACTTAGTAGAAATATAATTCTGTTCATTAGCACACTCAAAGTTGTTGCACCAAGGCCTAGTTCTAGTAGACTTGCAAGAAGATTTGGTTCGGGAAACTTAACATTTTCAGCCAAAATGGAAACAAACCTAGAGATAGAATCTGCTTTTAGGGGACTAATTGACACCAATAAGATTGTAATTTTCAGCAAAACTACATGTCCTTTTTGCAAAAAGGTAAGTATTTTTTCCTTCTTTTATGTAGGCCTACCGTGTGTGAATAAATAAATAGGCCTAGCCTACCTTGAACAATTTCTGAGCTGTAAACTAAGTACTTATGGAATTTTGTGGAGTTGGCCGTTTGAATGTCCAGGTTTCTCCAGTTCTCTTCTAATATGTTGTTGATGTTGGGCGTGAATTTTATGTGGTTCGTTTTGTATTAATTTATTATCAGGTTTATTGTACTGCAGTTTGCGGTGGTGGTAAAAATTTAGGACCCAGACCCCAGCTTAAAAACACTTCCCGAAGTGTGAAATTGTGTATAAAATGAATTTTTGGAGGATAATAATTGGGGGAAAAGCAATTCCAGTCCCAAATAATGACTGGAATTTTATTAAACCCACCCTAACCACAGTTCCTCCAAAACCTCAATATACACCAATTTTACGAAATTCCACACTTCAAGAATGTTGAATTCACTAAATCGACGTGAAGAATTCACAAGGAATAGCCTATACACTCGACTTATAATTTACTGCTCACTCAAAGATAACCAAAACCGGAACGCACGGAGAGCACCATGTCTTTGGTTTGCCAGTTTGCCGATAGCAAACCAGCAACTATCTTACAACGAAAATTAAAATCCCTTCGTCCAACGATTACCTACATAAAATTGATTCCCACATATTTATTTATTTATTTATTTTATTTTCAAATGCTACAAAACAGCACATGCCAATTACTTTGTAGCATTAATCAAATAACAGGAATGTTAACATGATATTACAATTAATAATAAACACAACTAGGGAAAAAATGTCCGTCTTCAATGATGACAGTTTCACTCAAAATATAAATAAAGAATATAAAATATAAATAAGAATATAAATAAGAATGACAATATAACATTTAAATATACAGTAACAAGAGAATTTATACTAACTAAAATAATACTGATGGTCATGAATCAAATATTTCACCAGGAATCACCCCGTTTCCTACATAATGTCAGAACGTTACTTTCCGACACAATTAGAATGAAAATTAATCACTAATTTGAGCTACCTTTGTCACTACTTCACTCTGAACTAACAGCATGGAGTCATGGATACAGTTCTAAACAGGGACGTAACTAGGCTATTCAGCACCCGGGGCAAACACCTATTTTGCCCCCCCCCCCCTTCTTAAAAGATGTGTGGTGTGTCCATCGGTATAATACATTAATACTATTTAGATCTTAAAATGCTTAACCTCAAGTTCAAAGTAGCCTACTAAGGCCTAGATATATGTGGTAAATAATTGAATTCAGTACGTTACGTATTTTCAAAGACAAATAGTTTATTTGGAAACAAAATCATTCACAAAAATAATATTGCTAGTAACACGCAAAGAAACAGCACCGCAACCACGTTTCGTGTCCTGAACCACTGATTACGAGTAGAATGAAGTATTTTTATTTATTTATTTATATTACATGCACGGCAAACGCCATTTTACAAGAGAGTTTATTTTACATTGATTGCCAACTGACATTGAGTATGAACTGATGTCAACTACACTAGTGCACAACATACACAGTTAGTCAAGGTCAGACATGTTGTATATCGATGGGTCAGACCAGCGATACCGTCAATGTGTTAGTGTTGTGTTTGTAGTATGTGTGTGTGTGTGCTGACTGGTGTGAGGAATGGGGAGCTGAGAGGTAGGTGGATGCCGAGAGGGGGGTGGAAGTGTTCTGACGCCGCGCCGGCACCGTCCTAGTGACTCATCGACGACAGAGAGACAACGCAGTATGCTCATCCTCATACTCTCTCCGTACAAGTTCATACGGACCGTTAACATGATTCGTAAACAGTATAATAACAGTCATATAGCATTCATCATGTCACTTTGTACTTTTAGACTTGTATAAAAATAAAAAATATAATGATTTTCTTTTGCAACACAAGATGGATTAAACATTTTTCAATAATTTTTGTTTGAAAAAATTTGTGCACAAGTTGGCGCTCCAAACAACTGTCGCCCAGGGCTCATGCCCCACATGCTCTAGTTACGTCCCTGGTTCTAAACAAACAAAAAAGAAACCGCCAGCCAATCAGATTAAGTTAGCCTACTGCACGAAAGAAACCATCAGCCAATCCGAAATCTACACAATTACATCATCTGTTAAATTGTTTCACCACAAACCACAAACTATAGCAGTTGCAGTGACAGGTCACTGTACCACAATTACCCCTAGAATTCCCTCAATTTAACCTGAATTCCCTCTGTATTTCCCGTAAAATCCCGGTTTCAATAGCAAAGTACAACATATTGCAACATATAGATCTCATCAACACTTACTTGTTGAGGAAAAAATAATTGTTGATTATGAAATTAAACCATTCTAAACTAACCAAACCAACCAAACTTGCTGTAGGCCTATGATTTCATGAGGAAAAAATAATTGTTGTTTATGAAATGAAACTGTTCTAAACTAACCAAACCAACCAAACTTGCTGAAGACCGAAGAACAATATCTAGAGAAAAGGTTGCATTTGACTTCGGGGTCAGTGGCTTCTACTGAGTCAAGAAACATTGAAGATGAGCTTTTTTCCACAATTGACATATGACCTGAAGAACTTCAAGTATGAGGGGGTACTGTTCAGCGTGATGGAATTGTGACACTGTTATTACTGTGAATTGTAATGGAAAATGTTTGCAATAAACCTCTAAATAACATTAGCTCACCATCACCAACAATGAACTTCAAACAAAGAATTGATTTAATCTGCATCTGCAATGATCAACCTCAATTTGCATTTCTTATCATCATCGTAATTTCCTAGCCTCTCCTAACCTCTTGTTCTCGTCTGAATCACTTCAGTAGACCTATTGGAACCAACGTTTTGTATCGTATATAAACAGCTGTTTGCTCTCCACATACCTTCCTCACCGCTAGAACTTGGACTAGCCCAAACCACTATTCCAACCACTAAAAGAACCTCAAATTCCTAATCTTTTATTTTGTATTTCGGACACTTAGGACTCTTTTTGTTAAACACTGTGTTTGCATTTTCGGATTCAGTCTGAAAAACAATATAAGAAGACATAAAAGGATTAAAATTTTAGTTGGTGAAACCCTGAATCACCTATTTAAAGTTAACTTTTGCCTCCTAATCTAACCTAGGCCCTATTCTAAAGGACCTAGTCAGTAACAAATCTGCATATAGGTTTAGCTATCTTCCTCACATTATACTTAGGCCTACTTGTACTAACACTTGGATACAATATCTCTTCAAAACTTGGCACTGCAACACTACTGTTAGCGAATTTCCCTATAGGGAAGTACGGTAGCTATTACCGTAGGTGGCACGATAAGACCTAGACCCGGGACCGATTTACTTTTTCATTTTGATGTCCCCAGAGGCCAAAAACACTATTCGTTCAAATTTTTATATATGTATATATATATAGACTTATATATATATATATATATACGTCCGTGAACGCGATAACTTGAGTAATTTTTGTCCGATTTTGATGAAATTTGGTTTAAAGGTGTAAAGCGGGATAAACTTGAATGAGTTCGCGAACCAGCATGATCGGACCATGGGAACGGGGCTTTACGGGGGGTTTTATGGGGTAAAAATTGGTTTTTCTCACTTTTGACCCTCAAAACACAAAATTTCCCAATTTCTCTTTAGACCTTTTTAAAGAGCTTAAAAAAACAAATAATTTAGTATATGAAAGTATTTTTGTTTGATTATTAGTAACGGAGAAAATTAAAAAAATTTTAAATTTAAAATTCCCATGTTATTCTTATGGAGAATATTGTCAAATGTTGTAGTTTGCTTGTTTATGAATATATTTTGATCAAACTTGGCAAATTTATTTATTTTCTACTAAGCTATCAATATTTTACTCAAAAACACACTTTATTAGTTTCCTTGTAGCAGCAAACCTAGGTACTCGTTAAACCTAATGTTATTAAAATATATTTAACTGAAAATCAATTCAGACAAATGGAAATTCGCTTAGTCGGCAGGTTTGCTGCGGCGGGGGTATTTTAAGTTTGTTCCTTTTATCCATGTGATTGTTTTTCAGGTCAAAAATATATTCAATCAATTGCAAGAAAACTACCATGCCCTGGAATTAGATAATTATCCAGGTAATAAATAATAAATATTCTCTAAACTCTTATTTAGATTAAGTTTTCTCATTGAGTCAATATAGACAATATATTTAAACACTTGGCTTTCAACATAAATAGGAATAGTTAATTATATTATAATTATTTAAATTGTATAGGTTTCTAAAGTTATCCCCCAGAGTATTTTTAAATTGATGGTAAGCAACTATAAAACCAAAATTTAAGCAACTATAACTTATTCAAATTTATTTTAAAAGCTAGTAGAAAGTCTATTGTGCCAAGCTCTAAGCAGTTTTAATGGGAAATGTGCAGGTCAATAAATCCTCCAGAGAAAACTGTAAGACAGAACTAATCCATAGGTCTATATTTTATATATTAAAAATTACAGGCGTTTAGCTAATTTTGAGATTTGAATGAGGCAAATTGGAAACTGTGCGTGCCAGATTGGACTCTTTCCCGTACATGTAAGCCTATGCTATCCTCAGAAAAATGTATTAATGCCTTAGGAATAGATTTGGCTTAACCTCAGATTTAATTTCTTAGCTTTAAATCACACAACTCAATTAATAACCAGGCAAAGATTGTTCATTCAAGTTGGATTGTGTAAAATTTGGTTAAATGTTCAGAAACACAAATCAAAATTAAAACTTTATAACAGACCTAGTTCAGAAGTTCAAATACAGTCACCCTAAGGGGTTTTGATTAAAGAAATTAATAGTATATTACGTTACTAGTCCTGAAAATAAGTGTTTACCGGAGGGATTACCATACGAGTCCGGTAAACACATTTTGGACGAGTTACGTACGATAGTTTACGCCATACTACTAAATCTGTACTAATCCTTATATATTTCCACCAACTAAAGGACTAAAAATCACTATAGTCATAACCTCTAAGAGAGGTTATGTTTTCTGTTTATAACCACTCACTGCCACCTAAATACAGTATAATCAGCTGATTGGTGTCCGGTAAAACTCATTGCAGCACAGTAGTACACAATGAAACCCCATTTGAATAGGCTGGCGGCAAACAGCTGTTTTCTGGACTAAATCCTTGCGTGGGAAGTTCGTCAAAATAATGTAGTGTGGCGTAAAAATCTTTTCTGACTGTAGTGGATATGTTGAAACCTTGATGTGTTTAGTTCTTATTAAGTCATACAAAATAATCAGTTAATAAAATGTGATTTTTGTAGCTGAGAAGACATCTCAGATGCAAGATGTTCTGAAAGATATGACTGGTCAAAGAACCGTACCAAATGTGTTTATCAACAAGCAGCATGTAGGAGGTTGTACTGATACAGAGCAAGCGCTGGCCGATGGTACACTTTTCGATAGACTCGAAGGAACATTCAATACTTACGACTATGACTACATTGTCATCGGAGGGGGATCTGGAGGATTAGCTTCTGCCAAGGTTTGTGATTTTTGTACAACGGAATCATAAGCTATGTTTCCATTCAATAAGTCCATTGTAGGATTTGTGCTGGAATAAGCCTTGAGTTTTGTTGAACAGTTGGCACTTGTGCTCATGTACATTTAAAGGAGTTTCATTGAACATTACCTAATGTATTGTAGAGATTGTAATCATCTTATTGCCATTCTGCATTTAGAATGATGCAATAGTTAGGTTTTTACAGACCGCAGGCTGTAAAGACAATATGTTTAGGAATGCTATAAATAATTTTACCTACGACTGTTTTTTAAAGTAGTCGTTTCAGTTCAGTTCTTAGAATTGAAAAGTTTTTCATTACAGCATTGTTTACTTTCATAACAGCATAGTTTTACTTGTGCTATACCTTAAGTTTACTGTTTCTTTTTACATTAAATATTGTAAATAGATTATAGTATTTGTATTGTACAGTAGGCCTATATGTTTAGATTTGTATAAACAGGTTAAGTGTAAGAGAGGGCCATGTGGCCCTAACTTTGCCTGATTGAATAAATCATTTTTCATTTCATAGTTAGTTTTACTCATAACAACACGGGTAACGGACCAATGAGGTTCAAGGATTGAGAGAGAAGAAGTAAAATTGTAATTATTTGAACTTCAACTAATCAGCTGTTCAGGCCAATTTAATTGTTGAGTGGTGCAATTAGTGTTTAAAACAATGTTTCGTTGCATCACTGTCAGTGGCAATGAGAGGTTATTATAAACAAAACATTACCTCTTTTAAGAAGTTATGAGTAGTGATTTTTAATAATTAAAACACTGTCGTAGGTAAAGTAGTGTACGCAACTCGCGTAAAGTACCGTAGGCTATTAGCAGCATGCAATAAGCCATTAGCACAATTAACACATTTTTTGTTAATTTTCCATTGAAAATAAAAGTTAAAATCTAATACAAAATAATGATAAATCAAAAACGGTACACAGAATAAATATCTCAGAGTAAAAAATAACAATTAGGCTAATAACAAATACTACTCCTAATTATTAAAATTAAATTAATTGTGTGTCACAAAATCGTGTTAAATCGTTTCTATTCCTCGGACGAAGCTGTGTTGTCAGGGACGGTAAAACAACTATTGTATTAGAGTATTTGTATCCAAGCCAATGATAAATTTTCACTGGATACTTGTTGTTCACAGTGTAGAAAAACACATTGTTAAAAAATTAATCTTGGTAACATGCATATGAATTAAGAAGTAATTGTAAAAGCACTTGGAATAACTATAATATAAAAAGAATAGCCATCCTATCTCCTCCACACTTTTAAATGTGTTGAAGAATTTATAAATCAGAAATTCTCTTAACTATTTACTAAGAGTAGACGGTAACCATTTCACCTTATCTCAATGACTCTTGAGATAAGTCCAAGAATTCTCAGAAAGTTTTAGTATTGACGATTTATTATTTATAAGATTTAATAATTTACATATTTAAACAATTAAAACTAATTATCAACTGATTTTAGTCATATTAATATCAACCTACTCCTTCTAACAGCTTCTGTTTACTAGCATTTTGTTGCATTTTATACGGTAAAAATGGGTTTTTTTCTAATTTTTTATCCTTAAAACACAAAATTTATCAATTTTTCTCCAGCCCTTTTTAAAGAGCTTAAAAAACAAATAATTTAGTGTTGTTTTATTAGGAAACAACACGCTTAGGTCACATGTTGGCCTGACTTGAAGACATGTGACAATCCCAGGTCTGTCTGTGTCCAACAGAGTAGAGGGTTAGTGAGTAGTCTGATCCATCCACTTGGTGTTCACACTACAGACTGGCCACCTGTGTGCGTAAAGCATTTTCCCTCCTCTCCCTAAAAAAATAAAAAAATCATGAATCATATTAATGATAATAAATATAATGTTTCATCTGAAGTCCTTATGTGTATATATTATAATGGCTACATTCATATCTTATGTTACCTCACTTTGGGTTAATAGTTTGCATGCAAACAAGAGAGTTTTTACTTCACAAAGAAGGAGGTGAGGTTAATTTGTTTTGATGTCCACAACTATTTTACAATATTTAAAGATAATATTTCCTCTGTAAGGCATATGCATACTGTCACTCAAAACAGCTTTGAATACCAAGGGGTAAAAATGTACAATTTCTTGCCTTTCGGTATGACAATTCGATCTCTTGTTAAAATTAGACATGTTTTACAAACCATTCTAACCCAGGCCTGCTTGCACAAACAATATTTTGTTACAGAATTATAGATTTCATTCCGATACATTGGTAGATTATTAAGTAGGCCTACATTCTAAGCCATTTTGATTGTTTTATGTTTCAATAATGATTCTGAACTATCCGTTAGTTTTTACTACAGTAAATCATTGAATTGAATTTACTCCCCACACAAACTGAAGTTGTCGCATGTGTCTCACAGGAAGCATCGTCGTACGGTCGCAAAGTGGCGTGTTGCGACCTAGTACTGCCTTCTCCCCAAGGGACTTCGTGGGGCTTGGGAGGAACTTGTGTCAATGTGGGCTGCATCCCCAAAAAACTTATGCACAAGGCAGCGCTCATGGGTGAAGATATTGAAGATTCTGCATACTTTGGCTGGACCACGGATAATAAAAGTTAGTTGGCTTTCTGTTTGCTAGAATTATTTTAATAATGTTTTAAATTGATGGGTTGTTTGTTTATCTATCCAAAAACATCAATACAATCGACATGCTAATAGTAAGAGTTTATTTCACACCTTTATATAACAATTAGTAAACACAAAAAAATAAAAACCAATATTGTAATAGTAACATAGAATGTCAAAAAAGAATTAAAGCTAGTATTTAGTGTGATACTGAGTTATCATTATCTAAATCACAAATATCACCCAAGTTTATTGACTTAACATTAGAGTCAACAAATTAAAAACATATTTGATAACTCTGCTTGAGACAAAATTATGCTTAATACGACACGATTCTCATAAATATGCTCTACTGAATCTAGCTGTATATTCTACAGGACATTCGTGGGAGGAGATGGTGACAAATATCCAAGACTACATTAAGTCTCTCAACTTTAAATATAGAACTGATTTGAAAAAAAAAGAAGTAACGTACTACAACGCATATGCCAAGTTCGTAGATAAGCATACACTTAATGTGAGTATCTTTTCTTAGTGTTTGTATAACTTAAGAACATTTTATTAGGGGGAAAAGAGTATTCATAATTAATATCTCTTGATAACTTCCATACTTGCTTTTTGTTACTTGTTATTCTCAGATTATTGAGATTTTATCTGGTACTATTTTTGTAATTTCTCCTCAGGCACTACAATTATAGTAGCCTGCATCAAACGTGTTAGGTAATCAGTGTCTTGGGTGGAGGTTGACGGTATTAGTGAGTTAAGTTATAACACACCTGTTTTAAATCTTTTTACATTAGTATAGAGGAGGAGGGCACAGATTTTCTTTTTCGGCTTTTATTTTGGTAAAAAATGGACTAATGCAACATATCGTGTTGAAATACATGCCCGGTAAAATACATAAAATGAAATAACCAAATAATTATCAATTATAGAGAAATAAAATAAAATTACAGTGTCATTGGGTTAACAGAAGGGCCACCGTAATCCACATGACTGTTTAATTAGATTGACTGGTTGTAAAAGAACTTTCTGTATCAAATGTTTTTATTTACAGCTGTACAACAAGGAAGGTAACTTTATGAAGACTATCACCGGTCAAAACTTCTTACTTGCCATGGGTTGCCGTCCGGTTTATCCTGACTTCCCCGGGGCTCGAGACCTCTGCATATCCTCGGACGATGTCTTCTCCTTGAAAGAGCCTCCAGGCAAGACACTCATCATAGGAGCGTCCTACATCGCATTGGAAACCGCAGGCTTCTTAGTAGGGCTTGGCTTCGACGTCACAGTCATGGTAACAATCAATCAATCAATTAATAAAGCACGTCATTGGCGCACAAAGCTTTAGCCGAGCACATTTCGAGAGTGGAAATGACTAATGCATCGGTAGGAAAAAATATTTAAACATGAAGGTTCAAGTTTGTATATTTGAATGGTGTCAAGTATGTATAACAGTATTTGTTAACGAAATAACATTTATAAATTATTTTTTTGTGGTCAGAATTCAATAAAATACACAACTATTGTAGAGGAAATGATTTTCTGATTACATGGATAGCAAGTACAAAATCTCATGAGTAAACTAATTAATCAACTAGTAATAGTAAACTAAATTATCATATATTATTTATGTTTTTGCTTGGAACTATCAATTCTTGTTTCCTCTTTTATGGATTTAGGCTGATGATTCAAAATCCTAATACCCCCGCCGCAGCAAACCTGCCGACTAAGCAAATTTTCATTTTCCTGAATTGATTTTCAATTAAATTTATTTAATTAACATTAGGTTTTATGAGTACCTAGGCTTGCTGCTACAGGAAGGGTAAAAAGTGTTTTTTTATTAAAATATTATTAACTTTGTATAAAATAAATAAATTTACCAAGTTTAATGTTGTTTTTTTGTAGCTTCGGAAAGTAAAACAGTGTATTGCCGAAACAATAAACAAACGTCTGTCTCCACATCCTAACGTTAAAAATATGCTTTAGTACTTTATTTGTCAGATCTAGGAAGCCAAAGCTGTCTTTGTCATTTCATTTTAATCTTGCCATTGAGGTATCCAAACCAAGCATTTTACTTCTTCAATTCTATTCTTCTCAGTTTTAACAACTTTAAATATCAGGTATGTTTTAAGACCAGTAGACCCCAAGAATTATAAAATAACTTGCTAGAGTAAAGATCATGCTTTGATTCTGCCATACTGTATGATTAAAATATAAATAATTCCAGCAAACTCATAAAAAGCTCAACTCTTCAAGTTTTCTTGAAAAGCTCGAGTCGAGCCGAATACTGAAATATGCATTCGAAAATACTCAACCACTTGAATACTCCAATACTTGAATACCTATTTAAAAGTATTCCATCAGCCACTTTTAACGCTTTAGCCAAATTCCTATATGAAACCCAATGTATATTTGCACAATGAATAACAACATTATTTAGTGTCACATTAAACATTTATAGAAATTAAATGTTAACCTTTGTTTAGGTGAGGTCTATTCTTTTGAGAGGATTTGACCAAGATATTGCCAATAAGATTGGTGAAACCTTGGAAGCCCACGGAGTAAAGTTTGTCCCTAAACATGTTCCTGAGTCAGTTACAAAAAATGGCGAGAATCTTCTGGTAAGAATAAACAAAAGAATTTTCCTTATTTTTATCTTTTCTATAATATAATTCTTAGTTCTTAATTTTTTTCTTTAATAATTTCAACATTCTTATTTCATAAAGCTCATTGTTTTATCTATAATACTGTACATTAAAACTGTTTTGAATCCATGGATAATTATTCATTTGAGTTATCAAAAATTTGTTTTAAAGTTTTTCATTGTACGAAAATTAATTAAAACTAATGAACATCAAATACGTTCAAAAATCAAAACGCTGTATGGATGAAACCGGGGGAAGAGTACATCATTGACATTTTTTGTATAGCTTTTGGTGCTCTCCCTATAAACTGAATTGATCATAGATTTTCAAATGACACTGCAGTAAAAATTTATTTTCATAACCTTAGTCATGCTGAATGCTATTTATCAGTCAAATGGGCTATAATTTTACTCACATGATGTTGACTTTATTCAGTGAGGTATTTCATCATGATCATAGCTAGGCCTACTAGACTACTTGTTTTTATTTTGTCAGGAATATTTTTGCTTTTTTCAAGAAGCATGTATCTTTTTATTGTTTGGTTTCTACTCTTGTAGGTTGTGTCAGTTCAAAATATATTTCAAAACTTCTTGCCAAAAACTAATATGCTTGTAATTGAACAAAAATAAGATTCCCTCTACTTTGGCAAGCTCAGAACCAGATTCTTGTCAGAACTAAAGAAAACCTAACCATTAAAAGATGCACACAAAAATCTTATGGCTATGACAAAAGCTGTGCAAGTGATTTACCTAAATCAAATGCAGGTCCAAACCGTCTGAAGTCTGGATCCAAACCAATCACATGCGAACATTTATAATCAGTAGTAATTTCTTATGCTTAAAAGTGTGATCACATTTTTGCAGTAATAAGAATTTAAGAGAAACCATGGCTCTTTTGATAATTGTAAACTAAGTTGACTATTTCGCTGGTAATATTTTAAAGGAAAGCCAGTTGGCTAGTAAGGAAGTATCACTCCAGTTTTGAACTTAAACGGACATTTCTCTTCAACCTAATCTCTGAAGAAGCACTAAATCAGGGCGAATGTTTTCTATTCTTTTATCTTTTAGCCCCTGTACTCTAATTTTCCCAGCTGAACTAGCCTAAATTCCTTTGCGAAAGATTCCCTATTTCACTGGTAACACTTATTATGTTTGAAGGTAAGAGCCAAAAGTCTCTCAGATGGGTCTGAGTACATTGACACATTTAAAACGGTTTTCTTGGCCATTGGAAGAGAGCCATGCACAACAGGCATAGGACTTGAAAACCTTAATGTCAAGTTTCAAGAAAGTAGGTAAGTATCATCCCTTTTCCTGGAGGTATTGATTTAGTTTATAGCTTCCTGTTAGTTAACAATCTTAAGTTTAACTATGTGTGTTAATGTTTTGGTAGTCAGTAGAGGTTGTGAACTATTCTTAAGAAATTCAATTTCAAATGAAACTCAACAAAAGCTTCTTAATCAGAAATCAAATAATAACCATGTATACTTCTTTTATGGAAATCCCACAAACTTTGTGTGTGTGTTATTTTTTTTCTTATGGTTAACATTTGTCATTCCTCATATTAATGTAACTCTTTTTGTATGGTTCTACAGTTTGGTACTAACAATCATGGTGGATCATGTTTTTAAGTTATTGTAATTCATATTTAGGTTCACCAACATTTACTTTAAATAACATTTTGAATTTATAACAAGTAATGGATACTGTTACTATAATCGTAATCAATCCATAACAAACTACAATCCTGAAATGAGAGTTTTAAAATCTGCAATGATGAAATAAAATATTGAAAGGTATTTTTTTTAATTATTTCACTAAATAAAATTCTATGATGTACAATGTATTTTTCTTAGTGTTGTGATTTAAAAATGAAATAAAACAATGAGAAAATACTTGTATTACCAATGTAATGCATTTATTCATACAACAGAGTTATACCATTTGTGTCTAAACTAGAGGTATGTGTATATCCAAAAAATCGGGTTGGATTTGGTTCAAATTTCATATCCGACACTATCCCTTAAATATCCGACTTTGTTTTAGACAGACAAATCTTCATAAATGCTACCAATGCCATTACCTATTTATATCCATCTGTATTACTCTATAATAATGCTACTGATTTATGTTTCACAGCACCAGAATTGAAGTGAACGAATTTAGTCAAACCAGTGTGAGGAACATTTTTGCTGTCGGTGATGTTGTTGAAGAGAAACTTCAGCTGACTCCAGTGGCCATACAAGCTGGGAAACTGTTGGCTAAGGTAAGGGTTATTGCTTGTAGTGAAGCAACTTTATTGTAGCACATTGTGAGGTGTTAATTTCGAGGGGGGTAAAGTCTACACCTTGTAAGCCTCGGATCTGCTACAAGTTGGGTGTGTCCAGGGTTCAATTTATTTTGTTAATAGGCTGGGCTCAGACCATAGGATTTTATCATTCACTCAATCAATCAATGGCATCATCATTGCCCAAATTAAAGCCAAGTACCTGGGGAAAATAATTAGTTTACTCTGAAAGCAGTCTTAGTATTTCAGATACATTAAACCATTCCCAAACTCCACGCTGCACGCCTTTACTACTTCCTTCACTACTTGCTACGTTGTGGACCTGTTTTCCTCCCTTCCCATAGCATTTTAGGATTGCAGATTCATTAATGTAATTGCCACAGACAGTTCCCACTCTCTGAACTGCTAGCCTTACTACTTCCTTCACCATTTCCCAAGTCATGGACCTGTTTCCTTCCCTTTTCATAGCATTTAGGTATTACAGATACATTAATCTAACTGCAACAAACGGTTCCCCCACTCTGCGATGCCGGCCTTTACTACTTCCTTTACCACTACCTACGTCGTGGGCCAGTTTCCTTCCCTTCTATTAGCTCCTTTTAAAATGTATTCTTTCCCTCAAAACCGGTTACAGTTTTTTTACACACAATGTCTAGTTTTTACCCGCTCTCCTAATTATAAATTTAACAGTTTACAACATTGCAATAGTTTGAATTTTTGTTGCCTTTTCTATCGGCCCTAATGACTTCATTGGGATTTTCATCATCTCGGAACTCAATCACCCGTCTAATTAAATCTCTCTCCCCACTTTGCATGGCCAAACCACGTTTTCATATAGAAAACGCAGCTTTAGTTTTTCCATAGCGGCCAGCAACGTACAAATCAAAACGAAAATAACTGTACGAAAATACGAGACCGCGTTGAAGCAAATGATTCGACCATCCACTCACCCAAACAAAGATATGAGTTATGATGTTTACAACAGATGTTTACAGATACATACAGCATGTGCCAAGGGCCCGAAGCCAGGTTCCCTCATGCTTAGCGCCTGCAAATAGTGAGCGATTACCTCCAAACACTGTCATTGGCCCTGGCTCAAGGGACTTCTTAACTCTCGCGGACAGTATAATTTTTAATCGAGAGCATCTACCACAATCACAACACTGTCGTCAACAGGTCCTGCGTTCATAGCTTGATTGTCAACATGACCCACATTCGCGATGCCATCTTAAACATTTCCTGCAATCACAGAGACATGGTTATCGCCTCCTAGGTTCGTTAACATCTCTCGCAACGCCGTAGACATAGTCATCGTCATCAGCCATACCGGCAATATGTCCTGCGATCGCGGAAAATGCCGTCATTGTCCGTTCTAACGCGTCAAAATTGCCGACAATCAGATCAAATCCTGTCCCGAGAAAATGTTGAAAATCCCGTCCCGATGATCGGGAAATTTTTTTTTATAATTTCTTAAACATTCTTTACCTGTCCATCGCTAATATGCAGTGCAGTGACCTGAATTGTTATCAACCTTTTAACTTAGCAATACTGCTTGGTTCTTGGTTCATCCTCCATTATTCTTTTCTCCCGCCGCTTGACAAAACTGTTGGGGATCTGTGGGTCCCTGCAATATTTGGGTCGGGGGTTGACCCATGGCATTGGTTAGGGTCAGAAATATTGTTGGGTCATTTATAACAGGCGTGCAAACAACTAATTTTCCAGTCAACTGAGCTGAATTTTTATTCTCACAATCACAGAAAGAGTCTACAAAGAACGAGGGATTGCAAATTTACAATTTTGCTGTGGTCGTTTGATACAATGAACCTCAAAAGATCTTCAGGCCCTATAATGTAGTACAATGACTGTTCACAGAGGCTGTATGGTAAAGGCAAGGCTCTTTTTGACTATAACCATGTGCCCACCACGGTGTTCACTCCATTGGAGTACGGCTGTGTCGGGTACTCTGAAGAAGATGCAATGAAGAAGTTCCCAGACCAAATTGAGGTTTACCACCTGCACTTCCAACCTCTAGAGTGGGATCTGAACAAACGAAACAAGAACAAATCCTACGGAAAACTCATCTGTCTGAAAAGTGAACAGGTTAGTGTGAAAGTCATTCAATAACAATAGCATCTGCACACAAAATAAGTACAATAGACTTTTGAAAATTCGAGCTAATGGACATCCAATCTGAACTAAAAGATCTGAATTTCTAAAGTCAGTCTTTAAGATCGGTGTTAACTGTTAAGCAGCAAGCAAAAGGTCATTCTGTTGCAACACTGCTGCATTCTACAACATACGTACAACAAACTACAGTTCTTGTTATTAGTACTCTAGTGTACGATTATGCACATTATACGGTACCAATACCTAAACATACTGCAGGAAAAATGGCAATTTTTAATACGTGCGATGCAGGTTTAAAGCAGTACTTCCAAATAACAATAACAACTGTTTGTATCTGATAGCAAAACAAGAAACTGGAAACCATTTTAGGGGCTAATTTTTAAAGGTTAATAATGTACAAAATTTATATTTTGTTAATCATACAGCTTAAAGAATGGTACAGTATAACAAGAAATATTGTTCATCTCGAGGACCAAAAGTGTATTTTCAACTCTCTTTTAATTTTCCTACCTTAGCGTTGCCTCAGTGTTAAACTTGAGTTTGTGTCAACCTAACCTAACATGGACCTACTTAAGTCCCCGTCTTATTACAGGAACGAGTGGTTGGTTTCCACTACCTTGGGCCCAATGCTGGAGAAATCACTCAAGGTTTTGCCCTTGCACTCAAACTGGGAGCCAAGAAGGACGACTTTAATAATCTGATCGGGATCCACCCTACTTGCGCTGAGGTAAATCGCACATTAACTGTGCAATGTTTAATCAGACAAATCAATTTAGGTATAGTAGGCTAGGTTATAAAAAAATCTTTCTTAGGCCAACTCTATAACTCTATTTTTGTCTTGGTCTTTAAAATACTTCTAGAAATAAAGGCTTTCATTTGAGATATTGATAGTTTTAATCAGTTATGTTCAAGATACTGTATCGCTCAATCAGAAAACACAAATTTGATTATATCTTGGATATGTAATTTAGTTTTAGATATACAGGGTGATTGATATAAGTGTGCCAGCTGTTTTACTCAAAAACTATAAGAGATATAAAAAAAAAATAAATGGTAAGTGCCTTGGATTTTGTATTTTATAAATTGTAGTCAAGTCAAAAGTATTACACGAGTCCAATCATTGTTGAAAGGTTATAACTGTCTTATTTATATTAACATACAATTATTTGAAAAAATAAAGCGTAATAGTGTAATAGATATGCTGATTATCTTCAACATTTTTAACCTTAATAATAGCATTTTAAGGTACTAAATTTTTAAGGGGGTAAAAACATACTGTGAGTAAAACACCAGAACTTACCCATTAAAACCCATAGTAGCCTACACATAGGTCTATGTGTTAGTAATAACTTGGACTGTGTGCAATAGAACGTAGGCCTAGTTTCAATCACAATGTAGAACAAACACACACTCACACAATTTATTTATTAATAATAACACTCTAAAGCATCAAACTGATCAGATTGTTTCACACTTCGACAGGATCAATACTATTTGACAAATAAATATATAACGCCAACGACGACATAAAAAAACCTCAAGACTGGTGTTTGTGACAGACGACGGACCAATAGGAAAATTCCCGATCAGCTGTTGGCTTGTATTTTAATTCGCGCAAGAGTGTGTAAGCCTCAAACGAACTGTAATCGTAACTTGACCAAGGAAGAGATTCTTTAGTTTTTTGACTTCCGATTTACGCATCTTCTAAAACCTTTTCACGGATGATTTATTTTGAAGGTTAGTTATAATAGTTAATCTTATTTGCACCTTTTATGTTCATTTTTGTTAAACTCACACATTTTTGTCCTACGACTATTCTCATTTAAGAATTTAATTTTGAATTTCCAAATTTAATAACGTGAATTTTGTCTACTTTTTTCTATACACGCCAGTTTCTGCCTGCCAGTGACTAGCAGTTGCTATAGTTAAGCTTTTTTGAAATTAACCCATTAAAAGAACAACCCGCCCGTTTACCTGAGCATCTGCAGGTTTTCCTGAGCGCTTATAGAGCTCTGAAACTTCTATTAAAATTAACACCCCCGCCGCAGCAAACCTGCAGACTAAGCGAATTTCCATCTGCCTGAATTGATTTTCAATTAAATATATTTAATTAACATTAGGTTTTATGAGTACCTAGGCTTGCTGCTACAGGGAGGGTAAAAAAGTGTGTTTTTTAGTAAAATATTAATAACTTAGTATAAAATAAATCAATTTACCAAGTTTGATCAAAATATACCCATAAACAAGCAAACTACAACATTTTACAACATTCTCCATAAGAATAACATAGGAATTTTATAATAACAATTTTTTGAATTTTCTCCGTAAGCAATAATTGATATACACTTTGATATACTAAATTATTTGTTTTTTTAAGCTCTTTAAAAAGGTCTGGAGAGATATTGGGAAATTTTGTATTTAGAGGGTCAAAAATTAGAAAAACCAATCTTTACCCCTTAAAACCCCCCGTAAAACCCTGTTCCCATGATCCGATCATGCTGGTTCACGAACTCATTCAAGATTATCCCGCCTTACACCTTCAAACCAAATTTCATCAAAATTGGACATAAATTACACAAGTTATCGTGTTTATGGACACATATATAAACCTATATGTATATATATATATATATATATAAATTTGAACGAATGGTGTTATTGGCCTCTGAGGACATCAAAATGAAAAAATAAATCGGTCCCAGTCCTAATTAACCTAGTACCTAATTTTTTTAAGTAGAAAATTCTGCGTCCTTTTGCCTAGTGGTAAATCTGGCACTGGTGCTACATCAAAGCCGTGAGCCAGCCCCTGTATTCTATAGCCCCGGTACTCACCAAACTGAAATATGACAATAAACATATTGTAATGTAATACATAGACAATAAAAAATAACACCTGATAAATACCTAAACAATAAAGATTTTATTTATTTTTATGTGTCCTGTTAAGTACTTAACACATTCATTGCGGTTGCAAAATGGCCAGCCGCTTCCGGGAGCGGGAGCAGCCAATGCGCTGCGTGGATGAGTGCGCGAGAATGTTTAAATTTAGTTTCACCCAATAGGAGAGACATATTATTAGGGATGGACGGGTCCCGAAATTTCGGGAATTTTTCGGGAAAAAAATATTCCCGATTATCGGGACGGGATTACATTTGATTCGGGAATATTTCGGGACGGGATTTGGTCCGATCGTCGGCGATTTTGCCGCTTCGCGAGTGCCGATGACGCCGCTATTGCGAGCGATAGGTCCGCGAACGCAGGAGACGAAGTCATTTCGACGATCGCGCCGTGACCGCGGAGTCCTACCGACGATCGCGCCGTGACCGCGAGTCATACCGACGATCGCGCCGTGACCGCGAGTCATACCGACGATCGCGCCATGACAGCGGAGTCCTACCGACGATCGCGCCGTGACCGCGGAGTCCTACCGACGATCGCGCCGTGACCGCGGAGTCATACCGACGATCACGACGTGACCGTGGAGTCCTACCGACGATCGCGCCGTGACCGCGAGTCATACCGGCGATCACCCCGTGACCGCGGAGTCATACCGACGATCACGACGTGACCGTGGAGTCATACCGACGATCGCAACGTGACCGCGAGTCATAACGAAGATTGCGCTGTGACCGTGATTATTGGACCAACGATTGCACCGTAACCGCGAGTCATACCGACGATCGCGCCGTGACCGCGGAGTCATGCCGACGATCGCGCCGTGACCGTGGGTCATACTGTCGATCAGGCCGTGACCGCGAGTCATACCGACGATCGCGCCGTGACCGTGAGTCACAAGTTTCTATAGGTACCTGTATATTGTTACCCATTTTTTTGGTTTTTATAGATCAGTACCACAATCGGTAAAAATTGATTTTGTATGTCTTTTTTTGGTAACTGCAATACTCAAGACTTTCTTTTTATGCACAGAAAAAATCCCGTCCCGTCCCGTCCCGAAAATCGGGAAGGAAATAAAATTCCCGTCCCGTCCCGTCCCGAACTAAAAATTCAATCCCGTCCATCCCTACATATTATAGAATGTACTGCGTTTCAATTGTTGTGGACAGAGTTTACAAGAACCAGACAGATAGCAGCACCAAACAAAACTGCTAGCAGGTCCTCAGTATTGCCAAATAGAGGGAAAAAGCAGGGGAAAATCCCAGTGACACCATAAAAAACATATCGCAAAAAGGCGTCAAGCACAATTTCGAGGTTAGGTTCCTTTCACAATCTTTCACTACAGTAATTATTTTCATTATTCTATTCCATTTCACTAAATCGAAGCCAAAACCCCACACCACTCTTAATGTGGAACAGCCCCCTTCCCTCCACCAATAAAATAGTCGGATCTAAAAACTAATTATACTGGATTGATGTATAAAACTGGCACAATAAGCGGACACAACGGTCTCCGTGCGAGGCTGAGCTGACACTGAATCAAGGTTGTTGTTATGGGAGGAGGACAACATTTCCCGTGCTAAGCTGTTTTACAACGATCCAAAATATTAACAAGAGAAACAAGTTCAAAAATAAATGTTTCACTTCTTAAACTTACTGTTGTTTTTTACAGATCTTCACAACAATGACGATTACCAAAGCTTCAGGCAAACCTGCTGAAGCTGGTGGCTGCTGAGGTTAAAGTTAGCTGCTGGAATCACTCAAGAAATTCCAGTGGCAGCTGCCATCTAACGGCTCCACGCAACTGAATGAATGGCGACTTGTAAAATCAGAGAAGAGAGCTTGTTTAGTAATTTAATGTTTTTTCACAGTATTTTTAGAAATAGTTTAATAATTTGTAAACTCAGTAAATCTGAGATAAATCCCCTGACAAGTTAAACCCATCCTGTTAAATATAATATGACTACCAACAATGATTACTTCCAATGATAGTTAAACAGGTATTTAAAAAGCAACTTAAAACTTGAGTAATTTTTAATTTCCTCAGTAATCTAGCTGTTCTGACCCTTTGTAAAAATAAATTATGGGCTCAATTGATTTTTCTAAAATGTTAACTTTAACTGAAGATAACTAAAAACCCCAAAGCTAAAAGAAACTCTTCCAGGCTCTCTAAATTTGCATATTAAGTACTTATGACAAAGTATATTTTCATTTTGTGTGATATATGTCGCCATTCTAATGATCTAATGCTACAGAATAATGAAGTATGATGGTTTTGGTGGGAAAGTCTCACAACTACCCCATTACCTGATGTTTGTCATTATTCACCTTTAAGCAATAATGATCAATGTTTGTAGTCTCTCTTGTTGCCTTAGGTACTATTACTATTGTGTTTGTATTAGTGAAATAGTTTGTTAGTCAAAGAATAGCTTATTTTTCTCTGGTGTTTGTGAAAAAAGTGATAAAAGAGACTAAAGTGACTGTGATTGAACCTCACTGCACGATATGGTGCATCCTTATTTTTCTATCAGTGCATAAAGTGTAAGAGTGTGATATTGTTATAACCAAGCGAATGTATACTATTTGTTGGAGGCTTTTTGAAGGCTATCTGAATAGTGTTGTTGATGCAAGTATTATTGATACAGTGATTTTGCTACAATTCCAATTTTGCAGAAAATTATGAGTTATGCCAAACAGTGTAAGGTTATTATAGATTATGCACCAAAGATAAAGAAAGAACTGGTATTACTGTATTAGCTGGTATTTAGTCCTTTTCCCCTCCACGTGGTATTGACATAATATTTTGGTAGGTTATTAATTTATTACCAACCTACTTGTTTTTCATATTTTTGTCATAATGAATGTGTAGTGTGCTGATGTTTTTTTACTGTTCAGTTGTCTCATTTATCAATGCTAGGTGCATTTAAAGCAAAAGAGAAATATAAGACTCCTCACTAATCAGTTGACACACGTTTACACAAGCAAAAATAAATAAAAATATGCCCATCATCAAAAACCAAACATCACCTTGTATGTTCAGTAGGTATACGAAGCATCTCAACTAACCTTTGCTGTATAAGCAAGTAGGTAAAGTCTGAAATAGTGTGTGTTTTTTTAATAATGACTATTTTTAACGAAAAGGTGCACCTTATTTTGTATTTGTTTTTTCTATTGAATTGCAATTTTACACATTTAACTGAGTGAAATTCAAAAAAAGATCAAACTTTAAGTCTTAACTTTTAACTTTTATTTAAGTCTTGTTAGCAATTTAAACTATGTTTGAAGATCTTTTATTTCTAACTTTCTGTTAGTTAGTTGAAGGCAAATCTAATGTTCACGTTACTATCGCTCAAAGATGTATCAGGGTTATAAATAACCTATTATTTTGTATAACCTATGTGAATTATAATAGCAACAAGTGGTGAACACGTACCATCAGCCTTTGATGGGCATGATGACAAATTATACGACATTCTAAGGGAAATTGTTATCTATGTAAGGTTTTGTAGGAGTAAGAAAATGTTATACAATCATGTTACCAGCTTTCATGTGAACTAGTTTTGGTTGTGGGTTGTTTTATGAAAATACATTATCAAAGAAAGACATATTTTGTTATTTACCTATAATTATAGTTACTTTGATTAGTGAATGATTCAAAATTCAATGGCTCTCTTATAATGCTAAATCAAACCAACTTACTAATTTAATGCCATTCAATAATAATATCAATATGTTTGTCATATGTACAAAATCACTTAAAAAAAACACTCATCATTATAGTTATTTTGTGTGGAGATATAGAATCAAATTGATTTGCTTTTATGTATTTGATCCATTTTAAACCAAATTTTTACTGCAGTAGAGGTTGTACCATTTCGTTAAGACTTAAGAGAACTATGAAATACACAATTCTAATCAAAATCAGGCAAGTAATTTTTTTAATAAGATTTTTCCACTACAGTAAAACCCCGTTTAACCGAAATATGGGGGTCGGTGCCGTTTCGGATAACCCATTTTTTTTCGGTCATTTAATGTTCTTTCGGTACTGAAAGATCTACAAAAGTCATGTTTTTACTTTTTAATGATATTTTTAGTACATGCTTTCATCTTAAAATCTAAAAATGTACACACAGATTTATTTCTTAAAATAATCGACAGATTTCTTCTTAACTTTGTCTTCACAACAGTCTTTGGCAGTTTTGTCTCTCCATCTCTTGATTGGCAGAACATCGGCAGGCGTTGAGTCATTTGTTGTTATCCATTTAAGGTTCCCCTGAACCCAAAAATGTGGTTTTTTAAGTGATGTCTGTGTGGACGTGTACAGAGCTACAGACCACACCTGGGGTTCGATTTTGATTACATTTTGTATGTAGGTACCTATGGTATCTCCAAGTGTTTATTTTTTAAATATTGATTTTTAATGGTGATTTTCCTATAGAAACCCATAAAATAACAAAATAATTGAATTTTCTCAAAAAGGTCTTGAACGATTTTGATAAAAATTTTACCTGCAACCGTTTTTAACTAGCCCTTTGAATTCAGTTCTTAGAATTAAAAGGTTCACTTTTCAAGCTTGTTTTTTTTTACTTTACAAACACTAGTAGCGGACCAATGAGATTCAAGGATTGAGGGACAAGAAGTAAAATCGTAATGCTTCGAATGTCAATTTATCAGCTGTTAAGACCAATTTAATTATTGGTAATGAGTTGTGCAATGAGTGGTTGGTACAATGAGTAGTTGCATCAATATCAGTTTCAATGAGAGGTTATATACAAAATCATAACCTCTCTTTGAAGTTGTGAGTAGTGATTCTTAGTAACAAATAAGGTCATTGGTGAAGTACAAACTTGCGTAAATAGACTTAAAAAAATCGCGTAAATAGAACTGGCTCCAGGGTGTCCACATTCTGGAAAGTCAGGGATAGTCATGGAAAGTCATGGAAAAAAATTATGGTCATTGAAAGTCATGGAAATAGGCAAAAAGTCATGGAAAGTCATGGAAATCCCCAATGATGGATGGATTTCAGGGGACCTTTCAATGCTCTAGTCGGCCGTAACCGCGACTATTGTAGCATTTTTCCGAATTTTTCACAAATGTACGACAATTTCAATTTATACAGTTGTCTTAGTTTATAGGTTTTGAGTTTGTATTAGTTCATTGTTGTACCTATTGTACTCCATTGTTATCTGTTAATACATATTTCAATATTTTCTGTGAAATAACTTGTCTAGGCAGTATTATTCGTGTGTGTACGGTAAATTATAATTTTTGAGTTAAGTTCGTGAGTCATGGAAATCAATGGTTAATGGTCATGGATAGTCATGGAAAGTCAGGGAAATTGATGACAAAGTTTCTGTGGACACCCTGTGGCTCTAAACAAGGTGATATAACGCTCCTCGCTGTAAAAGTCATGGTTCAAAAGCTGCAACTTTTGTGATTTTCCACTCAACGTACTTACGCCACTGACTGCAATAACTACAACCGTTATGCAGATATATCCATCACTCTTCCTTCAATGCCGAATAACATTTTCTAACATTATCATAACCCAACCTGCTTGGTTATTTATTTATTATTCCTAATATAGTAACTGTGTTTTAACCTCTAAGTACGCAATTATTGATCTCGTTGATTTTTAATTTGTAGAGGGTGATCCAGGGGTACGTTCCTTCAGAAAATGTTAAGAATTTAGGAACAAAATGGTTGATTTTACATATTTTTGTACTTTAATTAGCTTTGTCAATTTTATGTTTTAATTGCAAAATCTATAAATATGGTTAATAGGTCTCATAGGGGGCTTGAGCCCCCCCCCTCCAGCTCATATAAATGGACGCCCATGCCAGAGCCAATTCTATTGGTATCGACAGAAATGCTAGTGATAGAGCTGCATGTTCTCTGTGTTTGGTATCTAGTCATGCCACCCTTGCCAATAGGCCTGCGGTTCGCATGTTATGTGCTATGGGCCCGAGAGATATTTGTGCCCCTCCCCTACCCTTCTTTGCGAGGATTTTTGTCTTCCTAGTGCCCCCAACAAACCTGAAACCTCTTGCACCCTTAGGCCCGGGCCCATTAACTAAAGTGACCCTGCTCCCCAGGTCTAATAATCACTGCTATTGAAACAATAGATTTTGCATATAACTAATTCTTTATTATTATGGTTTGTTTAGGATGCTCCCTGGAAAATACCTTCTAAATGTAGCATGGATAAATCAGAATATCTGCCTGTTGAATACTACATGCTGATATAAATACTTGTGTTGTTTAAAGTATTTCCCCTCCTCTAAAAAAACCAAAAAACAAAAATATATCATACAACCGCAGGGCTAATAAAGACATTTTATCCATTTATTTATTCACTTGTAACCATTTGGCTACCTCGAATTAAAAAAAGCTTTTAATGAGTTATCCTTCTTTATTCAATTATATTCTTATCGTCTGAACCCAGCGTTAGACAACAAAAAACAATTAGGCTACAACTGCACATACCTTGTACAAGCAAAAATATTGTTTAATTATGAACCTTATACTCTGTGGATTAAGTGATTTAAATATTAATATTTTTATCTAGTTTACCCTCAACTAACAAACATACCAGTACTTATAAGACTCAATAAGAATTTATTAATGACATTAAACTTATTACAGTAATAGGCAACGTCAAACAGTACAACACATAGTGTTGTATGTACCGTAGCAGTTTTTGAGTGTTTCAAGTTTCAACTTAGATACTACTTTATCCACATGACATTGGTGGCTTAACCTACAAGTTAAAAAAATCTTCTACATTGTAAAAGGCATTTGTTTTTAAGAATGTCATTACATACGATTTAAAATCATTTACAGACAGAGTTCTAATTTCAGTAATTTCTAATTTCGAATGGTACAGTAACTTATTGAACAATAGATACTGTTTATAATGGTAGCTTTTTAAGGTTTTACTTAATCTAATATAAGGTGTAACAATATTGTGCTTAGTTCTAGTGTTGTGATGATGATTGCTGGGCTACATGGGAAAGTTAACTAAATTTTCTTTTACATATTACATAAGGTTGGAAAAAATATACAGTGATGGCAAAGTTAAAATATTGAACTGAATAAAACTAGGTTTACAAGATTCAGGTTTAGTAAGACCCATAATAGTCCTGATAGTTTTTTTTGCCAAGTGAATATTTTGTTGGAGGCAGCAGAGTTTTCCCACAATCGAATATTATAGATAATTTGAGAGTGGAAGAGACCAAAACATGTCATCAGAAGAACTTCTAAGCTGACATTATACTTAAGCTTTCTTAACAGGTGGACAATACAAGACACCTTTTTAGAAAGTTGAGAAACATGTTCGTCCCAAGTCAATTTACTATTTAAATAGATACCAAGGAGTTTGACAGGTTTAGTGAGGTTATTGCACAGTTGATTTTTCAAAGAAAAGTACAGGAATTCGGTTTTACCTCCATTTAAGGTTTTATTGTTGGCTAAGTACCATGACTTAGCGGTTGAAAAGGCATTGTTCAGTTGAGTTTTTACATCACATTCAGTTTTTGCAGATACTACAAAAGTTGTGTCATCAGCAATACTGTACTTTGTTCCTTCCTAGCCATCCAATGTTAATTTCAAGTAGGCCTTTCCCCCAATCACTGCCATAGACAGGTTCACTAGTCTGAGTTGCACATCAAAGTATCAATTTAAAATAAATCTCCAAAACAAACAAAAACACTTTATATAGGAGTTGTAATAACTAGACTTAATTTACTTTATTTATTTGCTTTAATATCACATTTTACAATGATGAACCGAAAAAAAAAACACATTTTAAACTTATAATGTTCTCATTTATTAGACCAATATTTTAATTTAATTGAAAACAGTTTACTAGGTTTCCTAAGATTGGTTTAATGTATTCAAACTTACTGTAAAACTATTAAAAAGACATTCAAGTCCAAGTATAACAAAATCTATAGTAAAAAAGATATTCCAATATGTATTTAAATACAACATTTTAAAATTATTTTACTACAAGTTATAATTTTAACAATACACACTTTCTTACAACTGAAGATTAATTTGCCTTCGGTTGTTCTTTTCAATTTAGTTCAAAGGACCCTGAAACATTCCTTTTGATTGGAGGGTCCGGTTTGTGTACTTTGCGCTGAGGTACTTCATCCTCAAAATGTAATTTAGCTGGCTCCTGAAGTAGTCTGTGTTGTAGCAGGTCTGAAGAAGGATCTTGCAAAGTTTTGCGGGGAGTGGGAGCTGAGAAGAAGAGTGGAGGGGACGTACCATGATTCAAAAGGATTCCTGCTTCAATGTCTGTGCTATCGCCGCTCAATTTTGGAAGTTGGTACTTATGATTTTTACACATAATTATAGCATTGATAGCTATCGGTTGAACCGTAAAAATGAAGTTTATGATCAGGATGCTCCCGGACAGGTACAGCAGCGCATGTCCTGGAATAGTACATAAAGTATGAATTTTATTATTTTAAACTAACTTATATTATGAAAATAGTTTTACGCCACACTACATTATTTTGACGAACTTCCCACGCAAGGATTTAGTCCAGAAAACAGCTGTTTGCCGCCAGCTTATTCAAATGGGGT